AGTTTGGTCACTCAAAAGCAACTGGTGCTCTGACTGGAGCCTTTGAACCAACTGAATGTCCATAACATTTGGTTGCATTCTCGCAGCAATTTGCAAAAATCGGTCTTGTCGTTGGGTGGTTATGCTTTTCCCGCCTAGGTGTCTTTGGGCCACTTCACCAGTAGCACGATAATGTGGCCATAACCGTGATATCACGTTTTGTTTTGTTCCGATGTCCTCAGCAATACTCTGTTGAGTAGCCTCAGCTTGGAGCATGCCTACTGCCCTTAACATTTCCTCTCTTGTTAAATGGCGTCGCTGTATAATGCATATGACACAAATTCAAATTAAACAGCTAACTTGTTTTAACTTGTTTCCGAACAGGTCATAGCACTTCTACTGCACTAATTAAAATTACTGATGACATTCGACGGGGTATGGATGATCGGCAGCTCACATTGCTGGCATTGCTAGATTTTAGCATGCCTTCAATTCTGTTGATTTTGATATACTGCTCGCTATCATGGTTTCTCTTAACATATCTCCGGCTGCAATTGGTTGGTTTCGAAGTTACCTGTTAGGGCGTCGGCAACGCATCCGCATTGACGATACTGTCTCTGCGTGGTGCAACATCACAGCCGGCGTTCCGCAGGGTGGCGTCTTATCACCTCTACTCTTTTCTATTTTCATTAATTTCATCACTCACATGCTTTCATGTTCCTATCACCTCTATGCTGACGATTTACAGATATATACTCAGGCATCGTTTCTGCATCTCTCAGAAATAGTATCTGTTATTAACTCAAACCTATCGATTGTTAGTAGTTTGAGTAAATCATACGGTTTGACCGTTAACCCTTCCAAGTCTCAAGCCATAATAATAGGTAGTCCTCACTAGGATCGTTTTTGACCAACTTCCTCCTGTAATTCTTGATGGTACTATTATTCCCTATACCGAAACTGTCAAAAGTCTTGGCGTCGTCTTTGATCGCTGTCTTTCCTGGAAACCCCAGGTAGAGGCTGTTAGGAAGAAGGTGTTTGCGGCGTATGGCTCTCTGAATCGATTACGTAATTTTTTACCGACCAGTACCAAAGTCACTAGCGCATTCTCTTATGTTGTCCATTATTGATTACGCTGATGTTTGTTATACAGATTTGTCTGAGGAACATCTCACTAAATTAGAGCGTCTGCAGAATGCATGCATTGGATTTATTTTAACCTTCGTAAATTCGACCACGTGTCTCAATTTCGCTCCAAACTCAACTGGCTCCCTATTCGCCGGCGCAGGGACTTGCACACTCTAACGGTTCTTTATTCTATACTTTTCCTGCCATTTACCCCACCTTATCTCAAGCAATGCATCTCTTTTCACCACTCCTCATTCCATTTTTCATTGCGATCCTCTTCCAATCTTACCCTCAAGTTTCCTCACCACACAACTGACTTCTTCTCTTATTCCTTCTCTGTGCACGCTGTCCGACTGTGGAAATCTTTGCCAGAAACCATCAGAAAAGCACGCTCGCTGAAATCATTTTGCGATTAAGTTAAACACCATTTCCTTTCCAGATCATGAATTGTTATCATAATTTACAATTTTTTATTTTTTTATTTTATATATCCATTATACTTCCTTTATATTCCTTATTTAAGATATATTTCTTCTACATGTTGCACCCATTACCCCATATTATTTATCTGTTTTCCTCCATAGCTTGCCTGGAAGATATTGCTATGTAGCAATAAGGCCGCCTTTTTGTATACTGTTTTCTTTTCTTTTCTCAAACTGTGTAATTTGTTACTTGTCTTATGTGTGCAATAAAGTATATTATTATTATTATTTTGTTGTTGTGATCTCTCAGCTCGAAGCTGGCCAGTTCCATGTAATGACTTATTATTATTATTATTAAAACTTCGATTAACACAAAAAATCTTCAAAAACTATTGTAGGTAAATTGAAAACTTCGAACTTCGCTTGAATTTTGTCGCGTAAATCTTTTTTTTTTTATTCAAATTTTGAATCATCAAAAAAGGCGTAGGTACAAAATAAGTTTTCATCAAAAGATTTTAAAACCAGCCAGCGTTTTTTTTAATTTAGAACTTTATACAAAATATCCCTAGATGATGTTGGTGTGTGTATTATACCTGTCACGTCATATCAAAGGGTTTAGCCGGATACGTATGACGAGTCGGCCCCCAAATGGGAATCGATATTGAAACTTATGTTTTAATATCGACTTGATGTTCAAACACGATTTATGTACTTTTCGCGACCGACTTCCGCTTTGACCTTGAGATAGAGAGCAAAATATCCGTATGCTTGACTATTACTGAATGTGATATATCTCTAAAGCTAATTAAGATAAAGAAGTGAAACTAACGCGAGGTGTTAGGTTACATTACAGAGTATATCACATATATTTTTTTATAATTTTTAGAATAAAAAATTATATAAAAAGTAAAAAAAACATGTTTTTTTTTCTGAGTTCTCTGTGACTTACAATCACGAAATTAATATATGTTATGCTCCTTTGTGTGCTCTATTACCCATAAAAATTGCGTGAAAAAAAAGTTGGTGCAACACAACGAAAAAAAAATTATATGTGATTTCTGTCTTATGGTATACCCCTGTATTATAAGGTTTTCACATTACATCATTGGTTTTTTTTTTCGAAATTTCACATCAGCTTGTTTAAAACTTAAGTAACTAGTCTTAAGAGATGGGATAATAGTTAAAAAAGAAATTAAAAAAAAAACCAGCCAGTGTTCAATACTTATTATTATTACTTTTTCGTGTCTATCAAAATACAAGAAACAAAATATTAATCATCGTCACTGTTGTAATTAATTACAATCGGAACACTTTGAGTCGCAAATAACTTAGTTAGGACCTCAGCAGGACGTACGATTTTGGACAAATATCATCCATATGATAGATAATAAATAATAGCTGCCTACATGAGAACAGCATCCCACTGTACGTTTGCCATTGGGGCAATCACAGCAATAACGAAGAATACTATTGTAGTCATTACCTTCGGAAATATAGTGAATGTAAATTCGATTAGACTTTTCTATTTATATGTCTTGATTTTACTTCTGCTTTGATGATATTAGGTGCTGATTTCACATATTGTACTGAGAGATTATTTTTGATCGTCCATTATTTCGGCCAAGTTAAATGCTGCACATTTAGAAGTAGAAGCTTTTTTGTTAATATATGGGATAAGTCGACACTTCTTACATAAAATATCATTAACTATTACGATTTTATTCAAACAGTCACTAAACACTTTAGCTTCTTCTTCATTCTTTATAATTTTTTTATAACCAGGAATCTTACAACATATCTTACACAGGTACTTGTTACAATTTTTACACACTCTCGACATTATTACTTAATAATGATTTGGTTCGATAGTTAATAATTTCAAAATGCTGATACAAAATACCTATGACAGAATTTGTGTCCCAAACTGCCTTCTTGTGGTAATACAATGACTGCTACTTTAGCTAAACAAACGATGCAGTAAACAGCTCGATAACAAGTTCGAACTTGTTTGTTTATACACTCCACACTACAAGGCGCGAATCACATATAATTTTTTTTCGTTGTGTTGCACCAACTTTTTTTTCACGCAATTTTTTATGGGTGATAGAGCACACAAAGGAGCATAACATATAATAATTTCGTGATTGTAAGTCACAGAGAACTCAGAAAAAAAGACCATGTTTTTTTTTATTTTTATTTTTTTAATGTAATTTTTTATTTTAAAAATTATAAAAAAATATATGTGATATACTCTGTAATGTAACCTAACACCTCGCGTTAGTTTCCACTTCTTTATCTTAATTAGCTTCAGAGATATATCACATCAGTAATAGTCAGCATACGGATATTTTGCTCCTCTATCTCAAGGTCAAAGCGGAAGTCGGTCGCGAAAAGTACATAAATCGTGTTTGAACATCAAGTCGATATTAAAACATAAGTTTCAATATCGATTCCCATTTGGGGGGCCGACTCGTCATACGTATCCGGCTAAACCCTTTGAGTTCAAGTTATTGTTACGACTTAGACTTCGAGATAAAAATTAACGCCAATTATACTTCACAATCCGACTTTATTTAACACAATAAAATAAACAAAAATAATCCAAATATAAAATTCACACCTTCTAGTATAGTGGAGGCTTCGCTTACAATCGCTTTTACTTTCAGATCGCTTGTTCAATAAAGAATACTGGGACGGGAAGTTCACGGCGTATTTATAGGAGCTGATACCACATCTAGAATGTTCTACGTTAGGACCTAGAACATTCTATTTTACTGACTATTAGGGTGCGAGTATTCGTAAGTAGGTACTATACTAACGTTTTAAACTATTCCTATTTCTACCGTTTTAAGAAATAATCGATAGTAATTGATTATATTAAAAATCAATTATTTGTATAGTATCATATATCGTCTATGAAGAGTCAATAAATAATAAATGCAACTTTTCAGGAGACGAAAAAAACGTTTCAATTCTATTATATTAGTTTTTTCAGTACGTTGCAATTATTGGTTATCTTACAAAAACATAAGAAATGAACCTAAAATCTTTGTCACTATTGTGTAGTAATCTATTTTACAACGAATAATTAATTAAAACAAAAATTGACAAAATATCAGTTATTATTTATTGACTCTTCATGGGCAATATGTAATATCTCTTATTGGTCTGTGGTACTCATGAGTAGTGTTGCCAGGTGTCCCGATTTACGCGGGATGTCCCGATTTTCAGAGGTCCGGGGACGCGTCCCGATTTGTACCTAATCGGGTTTTGTACCTGAATGTCCCGAAAAATCAAGTATTTTTATAAAAAAATTTTTTTTTTCATACTGTCAATCCATTTTTGAAAGCCCTTAACTATATTTATCTATGTCTGAAAGCAAAAAAGCTACCAAACTAGTACTAATACTTGTTTTTTTGTGTGTCCCGATTTACAACCCCAAATCCCGATTAATTACACGCACTGTTCCGATTAATAATAAATTGGACCTGGCAACACTACTCATGAGCCATGAGCTGTCATTTGAATTCTATGTTGTATTTTATTTCCAATGATTCTGACTCAATAATTACGAACCACACAAGCACTATCTAAAAATACATTCATGTAGATAGAAAATCTTTATTTGTTGACCAAGAATTACGAACCACTATAATGTATAGATGGTGGCACAGATTTATACGCCGTAGAACTAAACCTATTCCAGAAGATACAGCAATAATCTGGAAGCGACGACTGAGCATTGCCTATGGGTTAATAGCATGGAATGCATTTGGTTTACTTGTGTACAATATATATCAAGGCAAAGCAGATTGGGCGCATTATTATGGCTTAAAGTCTGATGAAGAACGAACAACGCCGCCAGGTGCTTTTAAACTTTCAGTTTCATACAATCCTTTCGCAATAAGAATTCTTCTTCTTTTTGTCCTTGTACAGTCAGAAGCACGTAATGTTGTACAAAACTGTCAAACTGCTCCACTTATTACTACAAAAAATACATTGAATGTAGAATTTAAAATTAATTGAAGAAATTACACCTATTATAGTGTAACATGATGTGCACCCATATATGTTTCAAGTTTTGTTTTATTTACAAGATATTGTAGTAATCTTTTTTTTTTGTTATTGACTTTCAGGACTAGCATGGGCAAATACTCTTGGTATAAAAAATGCTAAAGTTTATAGGATATCAGGGGTGTCTAAAGTTGGCGAATATGATATTGTTGATGGTAAAAGTGTGACAATAAATTCTAATGAAGAACAACTGACACAAGATAGTTAAGATCCTTAATAGCACTAGTCTGCCAAAGTAATGATTATACATACCTAGATGTGTAAATATTGAATTGAGACTATAGATTGTTAAAATATATATCTATTACAGATTGTTTGTATTTACTTTAGGCAGTAGTTCATAAGCTTTTAAGCCTAGAGGATAATATTCTTTCTTCCTTAGACACAGTGGACCACCTTCATGGAAAGGGTCCAGATAAATACTATTATTATGAGTTTAATGTATCTATAAATAAATTAAACAGATTATTTTTACAAAGTAATTATTTTATGAGGCTTCACAGAGCACTGGGTTCTTGTTGGAAAGTACTACTTTAGACAAGAACATGTTAAACCAACAATTCCATTTCAGTTATAACCGGTGATGTGAAAATGCCTAGGCATATAAGGCGAATTGGATTTTTCAGATGAGGACCGATAATTTCCAACAATGGGCATCAATATTTTTTGACTTACATGTTAGTAATTGAATGTAATGGCCAATATATTCATAATATATCACACATTCCCAGAATGCCCCAGGCTAGTGTATAGAATATGTAAATTATACTGATTGCCTTGCTCCTCATGTTTTATAGCTATGACAATCTCTATCATTATGCTATGATTTTCGTCTTAGATGTTACTTTAAAATTCAATATGTATGAATTACTTACATTCTGTTTTCACATTTAACTTGGATGAAAATAAATAATACACAAATTGCGTATTAATAATATTTTTATTTCATTATTTCAATTTATCTGAAGATTGTTGAAGACATTGGGTTGTTCATTTGATAGAGAATGCATGATTTTTTTGTTGTGTCAATACCAGTGACGGATTAGCCGTTTAACAAACTATAATGCCTGAAGCATAAGGTCTTAGGGCACCAGAAAGAACATTAAAAAATTTCTGATGCAAAAGAAAAGCAGTTTCAAAATGAATGTAGTACGGAGTGGCAAGGACAAAAAGTGTTCCCAATCAAAATTTATTGTACCTGAAAGCAATACAGTAATAAGTACTTCTACTATAATAGGGTATAGTAGAAGTACTTGGGCTGTATTGCTAGGGCTGGCGAAAAAATCGAGAATGACCCAAAGTATTATGTGTAAAGAAACTCCTTAGGTACTGTTGATCTGAAAATGTTGTATTTTTCAATACTGCGGACATGGACTCATAATGACAAAAGTATTTTTCAAAAGGTACATCTGTTTTAAGGTTAAAATTAGAGCAAACAATCTGTTTGTCATGCCATACCGCTCCTCAAACCCAAGAGCCCTAGGCAGTTGCTTAGTTTGCCTATATGGATGGGCCAGTCTTGTTGACAAGTGATACTTATCAGTACCAAAATCGTATACAAATCTTCCACATTCTACGACATAAGTCGTGGTTGTTAACAAATGAAATAAAGTCGCAATAAACTGTAATTAATAATAAGGAAACTACATTATCCTAAGTTAATACACTGGGCTAAAATGTAAAATTTCTCAACAATAATTATTTACTAAGGCACAGATAAACGTCTTCTCGTAATTTTTTATAATAGTTAAATGGAGAATATTGATAAATATATAAGTTGGCGCCAAGGCCTAGTAAGTTACATGAGCAATTCGTCATAATATAATCGAAATGGATTTAAACAGTAAATTTATAAAAATATTTTTGGCTCTTCATTTCGCATTCAGTCAGGCCTCGCGATTTAATTTTATTTTCCCATCAAGATCATGCGCACTCTTAATTCAAAATAACACATACATTTTGTTATTAGAAACAACAAATCACAGTTACATAATCCATTAGAAATAATAACTATATCTATCTTATAGACATAGAAAAGGTATTTATAGAATGTTATGCAAAATAATGTCCATTGAATATATGTTAGACATGTAATAATTTAATAGCTTGGATATAAAATGTGTCACATTTTTACTTATCATTAAGATCACAGCTTTAAAAGGCAAATGATTAATGATTATTTCAAGTCAGTTTGAATGTCGTCGTCTCTCTATTTCTTGTAATAAAGCAGATCTAGAACAAAGAAATCGAAAATTAATAGTTGTAAACATCTAAGATCATTTCTTAAAGTGCGTACATATAGCAATAGAGTAATTTAGTGTGTACTGTGTTACATTACGATATTGAGTTGCATTTTTTTATAAAAACAGATTAATATAGAATAACAATTATAAAATTAGGAAACTAGATTCTAGAGAATATCAACCAAAAATATAAAATATTCAAACCTGCTTTACATCTACATTTAGCAACCACTTAACAGGCAAAAAATATGTCCTACAAAATATTTTTCATCTTATTCTTTTAGCGAGATGAAAGTCACCAACGTTTAAACTTACCTATACTGCTCATATTTCATGACGATTAGTTGCAGCTCTTGTTTGTACAAGCGCGTCAACATATCAGAGTAGCAGTCTAGTTCACTCAGTCGAAACATGTTCCAGCGTAGTTTGTGGTCGAGTTCTTGGTCCGCTAAAATAAACAGTACATACTTATGTTATGTAAACTGCATTGACATGATAGTGGCATATCTCAAAATGATAATTTTTGCAATTTACATTTCTAAAATTATTGCATTAAGATATATTTTTGATGAAATTATAAGTTTGGGAAAAGTATTTTCGCATTTTATATGAAAACTCAATATTAACTTGCCAGCTTTGTGATATCTGGAATAGTGAAAACAATCTAGTATAGCACAGTGACGTAACTTATTGCATAATGTTTGTTTTCTTGTTATATTAATGAAAAACTTAACTTACCTTTTGAATACACAATGAGCCAATGGGGAATCTCCTCCAGCAGGTATGGTGGTACGAGTGTAGGCACGTAAGGACTGACTAAGTAGCAACCACCTACTAAACATGGATGTGCGTATGTAGTTTGTTGAGTTATCTCACTGTAATTAAACAAAATATAAATTAAAGCTGTTGATTAACTAACTTACTCCAAAAATGCCTCATTAAAATTAAAAACAATTAAGAGAAATTCCTACTGAAGCCAGGCGCGGGTATAACTAGTCGTTTGTTGTGAGTTGGAACTTTTGGAAGTTGATATTCTCATATAATAAAACAACTATATAACACTACAAAAACAGAAGTGATAATAGCGAATGTCACTGAAAGACGTACGCGACGGACAGAAAGTTTACTTTGTTATAAACACTAAAAATGTAAAGTATTAAAAAAATATCACATTAACTGATGTGACTAAAACCTAATAACATAAAGTAAAAGATCAGATTTAATAATTGTTCACGGATCTTTTCATAATAAACTAATATTTTATTTTAAATAACTAACTTGAAATAATAGACACCGTGATGAGGCGTGGAAACTCTTTGCCATGGTCGCGGCACGCTTTCGAGCGGATGCGTCCAATGAGTAGTCTGAGTATTGTGGTCCATATAGTAGCGACGTCCACGCAGGGTACGATCCGCAGACCACCCCGGAGGTAGTGGCAACTCACACTCATCAGAACCTTTGCAGAGGAATGTGTACTATACTTACTTAAAGTATACCAATCAAATCATGTAACAATATAATATACATAGCAAAAGCTGAGAGATGTAATGGATACTACTTTAAAGAACATGAATATCAAATCTACTAGTTAGATGAATCCTCGGTTCAAACTCCATACTCTCCAAACTACCTCACTTGACGCCCTGTCGGTGATCACCATGCACTTTCTGTAGTGATAGTATGCAGTTATTGTTATCAGATTCTTGTGAAGTTTTTCTTAACACAAAATTAATTTAATAAATTATTATTATGATCAGATTTATTTTATTATCTTACTTTCTTTTATAAAATATATTAATAAGTTTGAGATGTCAATTTTTTTTAATACTGTACTTGCACAAAATTCATTTTATGTAACTTTTTAACAGACAATTTTTTATTAAAAAGGCAAATATCAATATTCGTATGATATTCAACAAGTATAAATATTCAATAAACAATTAATATTATTTATTATTAATTCTAATGACATTTAAATTAGAGATGCACTGAATATTTGTCGATATTCAGTATTCGGCATATTATTCAATTATTTGGTGAAACCACTACTAATTTGCATAATTAACTTAGTTATGGGTTTTAATCTTAAAAAATAATTTTAGACTATTAAAATTGATACTGTAAACATATATACATATAAAAAATATTAAGAAATTTTATTACCTTGGCTGGTAGAGATTATATTGTTTCCATGACTTTTATTAGTATAAGGAATAACAGAGGTATTGACATAATTTGAGTAAATTGGAGATGACTGGCTGCCTGATGTGTAAGCTAAAACAAATTTACATTAAAATAATTTTCATCTAAAACGTAGTCACACTTATATATATACATATTAATTTATCATATTACTATCTGTGCAGGTGTGTAAACGAATTGAATGTGGAGATGGTGGGTGTAATCTTGGCGTAAGACTGAGGTTGGAAGACAATCTTGGCATGCTGGGCTCCCTTGACCCATACTGCTGTTGTTTTTGTTGTTGTACCTATGGTGAAAATAGACGGAAATTAATATATTGAAGTAATAAGTCATTGAGATCCAAATCATTTTATTTACTACCTGTTGCTGATTCTGGTATATGGGATCTTCCTGTTGTTGTCTGTAATATCTATAGCTAGTTTGTCTACTAAATGAATCATCAATCTCATTTAGAGTTGAGTGTGAAGCCTGAAAGTTATACAACACAATAAGTAAATAATATTTTAAATACACACAACAATAATGTAATTCTAATAATTTTTTATGATTAACTTACCAAGTTTGATGACTCCAAGTGGTACTGTGAATTATAATTGCTTGAAGTACTAGCTGTATCACTGCTTCCAGTTGATAGATATGCAAACCTAAAATACAGTTATGTGCTGATGATCATTGATTCAACTATTATAAATGTACACATACTTTATTGGTGTGTATCTAGTTATCTGTCTCAAAACTAAATGAATTTTGGTACTTGTACAATATGGCAAAATGATAACAATATATATATTATTTTTCTGAAGTTCACCTGTGTGCCAAATTTGGAACTGATTCACTAGGTGTATATTTTCCAGCATGACCACTCATGGTCTGTGCCTTGCCAAATTTATTTTCATGAGTCTGTGAAGTTCCATCACTGGCGCCAAATGGCTGACTGCGTGGTCTTCGATTATGGCTTGTCGTCCATACATTTATAACTAAATATTATGAAACATTAAAAACGTATTTACATAACGAAAAACATTACAAAATTAGAAATATTAGCATGATAAAGATTTTAAATTTATAACTCACTAGGTAAATCTGGCGGTGTATCCTTTTTTATGTATTTTCCAACAACACCCTCATTAATTGCTTTTTGCCCTTTTCGTGATATCATTTTATTAATATCAAATTATAAAAAACATATAATATAATTACAACAGTTAGCTATTTCATGTCAAACATGTTTCTCAATGTGTCAAGTCAACAGTGGAACATTGTCTCAAACGTCATAGAGCGAGATCGGTTGAGTTGCCGGCTAAAATCGGTATTTGAAAAAAAATACAATATTCAATCAAATTCGTTTATTTATTGAAAAATCTTACAGACTAATTTATAACAAACACACTTGAGTATAATTATTTATTATACCAATATTCTTTGCCCATAGCCGCTGTCATCTTCGATTTAATTTCAAAATCATAACAATTAGCTGTATTATAGAGTCGTTTTGAATGTAATAGACCAGTGATTCATTCAGTAGACAGCCTATTTCACTGTTTTGTTTTCAAAAGATTAATATGTGAAAATATGCGTTCAACGTTAGCGGATGAATGGGGTAGTGATAAAATATTAAAGATGAAATTAGACAACAAAGGAAACACTTGAGTTTCATCGCCATGCTTTCGTAAACTTACTTCATCCCAAAATAATTCTACATCATCAGGAAATGTTTTGATTTGTTCTCAATTTCTTAAAAGAGCCTACTCACAGGAACAAACGCAGCAGTTTAGCCATTTTTAACATTTTTTGGATCAATTATGTCTAAACCTTTTATTGGATTATTTTTCAATGGCAACCGCGTGGTTATTTGCTTACAAGCTTCGATATAAAAATCTAGGTATCTTTAAACAAATTTATTTGATCTACGTCCAGTCATAGAGAAATGATTTTGGTTGCTATGTTATTGTTTTGTTTATTATCTTTGTTTTAAAATTTTCTCTGTCATTAAGGATTATATTATTTTTATTAATAAAATACTTTATACGTTTACTCCACAATCCTTTATTTGCTACATTGTATATTTCCACAAAAACAACAGGTTATGGGCCCAGGCCCTATGTAGTTTTTCAGGAAAGTGGAGTGAATAAAACGTTAGAATCATGCAGAAAGAGTCAGTCATAACAAAACTAAAAGGTCATTCCAACTATGGAACATGGTCATTCGCTATGCAAATGATCCTAGTGGAACATGATTTATGGAATTGCGTAGAGGAAGAAAATATTGTTTTGACAGCAGACAATCAGAAGCGTGATGCTAAAGCACGGGCCAAAATATGCCTGAGCGTTGAGGAGAAAATTTACCCACTAATTGCTGAAGCAAAAAATGCTAAAGAAACTTGGTTAGCATTAAAGAGAGCATATGCGGATGCAGGTTTGGTGCGTCGATTAACATTACTTAGAAAATTGTTCAGCGTGAAACTAGAGAGCTACCCTAGTATGGAAGCGTACGTTACAGATATCCAAGCGACACATCAAGCACTCGTAACGATTAAAGCTGGTTTGGATGATGAATTTCTAAGTATAATAATGTTAGCTGGTTTGACAGATTCGTATAATCCGCTAGTGATGGCTTTGGAACATTCAGGAACAAAAATTTCGTCTGAGACCGTAATCGCCGCAATACTTAAAGAAGGGCAGCGACAAAGTCAACCAACGTATAGTGGGATGAATGAAAACAAGGACGAATCGGTACTAGTGTCGAGTTCTAATGACAAAAAGAAAATACAAAAACCTATAATTTGTTATTGTTGTAAAAAGAAAGGGCATTATAAGTCTCAATGTAAAAAATTGAAAAATAATATTGATGTTCAGCCGAAATCTTGTCTTGCGAATGACAACTCTGAGGAGTTTGTAACCTTTTTAACTAGTAATTATGAAAGTAATGATAGATGGGTTATAGATTCTGGTGCTACGTCCCACATGACATCAAATGAACACATTTTGAAACCAGAAAAATCTTGTGCAAAATTTATTACCTGTGCAAATAAAGACAAAATTGTTTCAAACAAACAAGGAACTGTTGATTTGAAGATTAATCACGAGGGACGTACCACAGATGTGAAAATGAGTAATGTATTGCTTATCCCTGAGTTATTAACTAATTTGATTTCAGTAAGCAAGATTGCTGAAAGTGGTAAGGTTATTATTTTTGATAAAAAGTGTTGTAAAGTTTTTAATGATACTGTTAATGTTATAGGTAAACCTCTTTTTACAGCACCACGCAAAAACGGGTTATATGTATTAGGTCCGGATAATAACAAGTTTGCGACAGTTCTTTTAGGTGATAGCAGTCGTAGTCAGGATGACTATGAGTTGTGGCACAGGAGGTTAGGTCATTTATCTTATCCTCAGATGAACAAACTAAAAGGTATGATTAAGGATATTAATTTTGGGAAGGTTGATAACAAAGTTCATTGTGTGGCCTGCAGCCAGGGAAAGCAGTGTGCAAAGAAATTTCCACATCGAAAGAAATGTAAGCGAGCAAACGATTTGCTTGAACTAGTACATAGTGATGTTGCCGGTCCAATTGAAACAGAGTCATGGGGAGGTGCAAAATATTTTCTGATCTTTGTTGACGACTACAGTAGAAAAGTTTTCTGTTATATGTTGACATCGAAGAAAGAAGTATTCAAATGTTTTCGTGATTTTAAAGCTTTTGTGGAAAATCAAACTTCAAAGAAAATTAAAAAATTTAGATCTGATAATGGTACAGAGTATACCAATAAGGAATTTCAATCTTTTTTAAAGAAATATGGAATTCAGCATCAGACATCTGTTCCACATACTCCAGCTCAAAACGGAGTAGCTGAGAGGACTATTAGGACGATCACAGAGAAAGCACGTTGTATGCTTCATGACAGTGGTCTAAATAAAAAGTTCTGGGGTGAAGCTGTCAACACAGCCGTTTATTTGAAAAATCGATCCCCAACAATGGCTTTAAAAGACAAGGTTCCTGAAGAGGTGTGGTTAGGTCAACAAGTAGATTTATCGTATCTGAAAGTTTTTGGATCTATTGCACAAGTCCTAGTGAAGGATGGCAGTAGAAAGAAGTTTGATGCCAAGACTCGCAAATTAATTTTTACGGGATACAGTGAAGCACAGAAAGCCTACAGATTTATTGATTTAAATAATCCAAAAAGGATTATCATCGGTCGAGATGCAGTCTTTAATGAAAAGTTACAAAATCCCTCGGTCAGTGATCTCAAACCTGAGGAAGTTATCAAGCAGCCTACATCTGATAAATGTACAAAAGAAGTTTCTCAAGCCGAGAAAGAAGTTGCCCAAGGAGGACTTTATTGGGATTATCGCGAAGAGGACAGAGTGTCTTCTGCTACCAACGTCTGTGATGATGAAGTCGGAGAGGTAATAAGATCAGAAACAGAAAGTCAAGGCGTAAGTAATATACGGTCCGATACTTTTGAAGCTCAAGACGAAATGAGTAGTCAACAAGATTCTGAAATAGAAGAAACTAGTGAAGTTTCGCCAAATAGAAGATATCCCTTACGAATACGTACTCCAAAGAGATATGATGATATGGAATACAATTTTCTAGTCTCAACTAATGGAGATCCTGTTTCTGTAAAGGATGCAATGAAGCGCTCAGATAAGACGCTGTGGAGGAAAGCAATGGAAGAAGAATATAATTCCCTTATAGAGAATGGCACTTGGAATTTAGTTGACCGTCCTTGTGGGACTAATGTGGTTAAATGTAAGTGGTTATTTAAACTCAAAATAGGAGCGGATGGTGTAGTTCAGCGACATAAGGCGAGATTAGTTGCCAAGGGTTATTCCCAAAAATGGGGAGAAGATTATTTCGAAACCTTTGCACCAGTAGTCAAGCTTTCGTCAATCAGGATGTTGTTTGCTTTATCTGTTGAGAAAGACCTCAAGGTACATCATATTGATGTTACTACAGCCTTCTTAAATGGTGACCTCGAGGAAGATCTTTACATGGAGCAACCAGAAACCTTTGTAAAGAAGGGAAATGAGCAAAAGGTATGTAAGCTCAAGAAAGCCATATATGGATTGAAACAAGCAGCTCGATGCTGGAATGTCAAAGTAGATGCTCACATTGTTAAGTTCGGCTTCAAGAGGTCAAATTATGATTCTTGTGTATATATTAAAAGAAGTAAGAATAATTTTACAGCTATTGCTCTGTACGTAGACGATTTTTATATTTTTGGCAGTTCACAACAAGTTGTTGATCAAGTTAAGGATCACATAAGATTAGGTTTCAAGATTAAGGATTTGGGTGAGGCTAAAGAATGTCTGGGTATGCAAATCACGAAATCAGAAAACTTGAAAGAAATTCATTTGAATCAGACTAATTTTGCTAAAAAGATATTAGAACGATTTGGTATGGAAGATTGCAAACCTGTTGCGACACCATTGGCAATGAATTTGAAGTTAGAAAAGGGTGACATAAATCATGATCCCAGCTATCAAGAAATCATTGGGTCCTTGATGTATCTTGCTTTGGGTACAAGACCAGATATTGCTTTTGTTGTAAGTTATCTCAGTCAATTCAACAACTTCTGGAACACAACTCATATGTCAGCATTAAAACGTGTTTTACGGTACGTCAAAGGCACAATGAATAATGTTTTAATATATAAGAAAACTGGAAAACCGTTATGTGCTTTTTGTGATGCAGATTGGGGTAAAAATGAAGATGGTCATTCGTTTACGGGATATATGCTTGTTTTAGGTGGCGCTGTAATAGCATGGCAGGCACGTAAACAGCGATGCGTTGCATTAAGCTCAGCAGAAGCTGAGTATATCGCTGCTTGCGAGGCTGCTAAACATATTATATCTGTGAAAGGTTTATATGAAGAATTAACTGGTGTTAAAGTGTCAGTAGAATTGTTTAGTGATAGTCAAAGTGCTGCAAAATTGATTTATTCTAATGCTGTAGGTAGAAGATCGAAACACATTAACATCAAATACCATTATGTGAGAGAACTAGCGGAATCTAAAGAGATTTTCATCACTTATTTGGAAACTAATTCCATGCCAGCTGATGCTCTCACAAAAGGTCTGCCAAGACCAAAGTTTGAGTACTGTTTAAGACGTATGGGTATTCAGGGGGCGTGTTAAAAATGAAGGTTGAATACCGATACGTCCAGTCATAGAGAAATGATTTTGGTTGCTATGTTATTGTTTTGTTTATTATCTTTGTTTTAAAATTTTCTCTGTCATTAAGGATTATATTATTTTTATTAATAAAATACTTTATACGTTTACTCCACAATCCTTTATTTGCTACGTTTAGATTTTCTGAACTACTTAGTAGTGTGTTAGACGCAGCAGCACGTATACGGCGTCAATATCTATAAAATTTCTGGGATTCTTAAAATCAACATTTTCGATTGGAGTGCTAGTTAAATATTCTCTTAAATAGGTAAATAATGGTAATACAAAATCTAAAAATAATATAGTAGTGGGATCTTTGAGCTTCTGTTATATATGTTCTGCAGCTAAAAGATGATAATTATTGAATACGCAGAACTTGACTATGTAACAAACAAATAGTTGGAGTGATAGTAGCTTCTTTCCTTTAACTTCAACTAGAATTGTCACTTTAACATCTTCTGGACACTGTTTATGTGCATTTAAACATTTTTAAAAATTTTGTAGCGTTAGATCTCAAATGTAGTTATCACAAATCACACTTGCAGTTTTCATCCCATCTGTTTTTATCAACACGAAGTAATATCTTCGATGTTCGTTGAGGGAAATTCTCAGTTCATTATTAAAACACGTCTACTTGTTGTAACATATTGCATGGGCCAATCCACCAAAAGAAACCATGAACAGAGGCGTTATGAGCAAATTTTCCAAAACTGCCCGAAGTTTTTTTTATTTATTTTTTATTAAGGAACAAACAGTTTCAACAAAAAAAACATAAAAAGATATAAACCTACATATGCATTTACAAATCTAACATAAAGAAACGGTAAACAACATAAAAGATCAAACATAAAGAATATAATACAACATTTAAGCATACCCACTCAAGCATTTCGATCAGACAGGTGCACGCGCAGTGCGCGACGGGTCATAAAAAAAAAACAAAAGAAATTAATAATTTACTGAAAGGTTTTGAAAGCTTTCAGGAAAATTTCTTCAGAAAAATAAACTTTCGCAGCAATTTTCATCTCTATTAAAAAAATATCAAAAGAAATTAATAACATACTGAGAAGTTATGAAAGTTTTAAAAAAAATTCCTCAGAAAAGGAAACTTTCGCAGCAATTTTCATCTCTATAAATAAATTAATTTACGACTTCCAGATTATTATTCCAGATTTTGAAACTGCTAGATTTTATGTATTGATAAAAAATCGGTATTTGTTCGAATTAAAGGTTTTTTTTTTAAACTCACCTTGTTGATAACAATTTATCCATAGTGAAAAATAATTTAACATTTACTCTTTGGAAAATTGTTTTTTTTTTAAATTGACAATTTGTTCTTTGTTGACAAAAAGAACAACAAAATCACGTTTGTTTGTAGTGTTTTGTTGTAGTGTTTCTATAGTGTATTTAATTTATTTTTGACCATATTGAAGGCGTTCTTTATTTTTCCCTGTTCTTAAAAATGTTTTACCTTATTGGTTTAGGATTAGGTGATGCCAAGGATATAACCGTAAAAGGATTAGAAATAATAAGGAAATGTGATAAAGTTTTGCTAGAAGGTTATACCTCGATTCTTACTATTGGAAAAGATGCTTTGGTATGTATTAGGTTATTAGTATTGATTTACGTACGTTATTTTAAATATAAGCATAGTGGTGTATTCTCACAGTAGTTCATTACGCTTAAAAACTTTTAATCCAGAAGTTCTGAATCTGTGGTTCTCGTACACCTAGGGACCTAGAGGTGCGCAATTAGGTTTGTTGGATTTACATTTTCAATTATCTATTTTCCTACGAGACCATGAGCTTAATGACTTTGCTGTAATGTACATTTTCACTTGGGTTGGAACAGTTACTCAGTGAAAAGGTACAGTATTTAAAAAAATAAGTTTTGTAAATATAGTACCAGCAATCTGCTCGCAAATTCTACTGGAAACATATTCTATGAAATGAAAACATAAGTTTATAGAAGTTACTTTGTAATTTTTAAGATTTTTTTCTGTTTACAATGTTTTTTGGCTGACAAGAAAAATGGATGAATGAAACTAAGTAGCTCAAAACAGAATTATTGAAACACAAACTATCTGAGCTGTAACATTGATCATAAGTTAATATTCATGCATGTTTTAAAATATTTATTTTAATAATTTATTCATAAAATATTTTCAACAATGTGAAAATATTTCTGCCAGCATATAGTATGAAAATCAGAAATATAGTACTGTTAACCCTAATCTACATACTATCACCCAGTTGCACAAACATCCATTAAAATTGTCATTCATTTATTGTGACATTACCCGTACAAATTTTCAAATGTAGAAGATTCACAGCTAGTTGCACAAACATCTAATAAAATTGACATTAGTTTAAGCCACATTACCAATACAAAATTGACATTCATTAGAGCTTAAAGACAGAATTGCAACTGACTGTCAATAGGTCTTAAAGTCATATTACACCTTAATGGATGTTTTTGCAAGGTATAAGTATATTAATGTTACTTTATTACTGCGTTAACATAGGAATTAATTTTAAAATATAGGAACAGTTTTATGGAAGACCCTTAGTGATTGCTGATCGGGAATTATGTGAGAGTGGTATAGATGACATATTAGAAGAATCAAAGGAGAAAGAAATTGCACTACTTGTGGTTGGTGATCCTCTAGGGGCTACTACACACACAGATATGCTGCTACGAGCTAAACAACTAGGTGTTAAATCACAGGTCTGTTTATTCTTCTTAGAGATTCCATAATTATCTGTTAAATTAACAATTAATCTTAGAATTATTATTATCAAACAGGTAGGCAGTTGCAACAACTGATGTTGCCTAAATCCAGACATCTTTCAATTCTTATTTCTGATCCTAGTTGGATACATTGAACATCATGTACAATCAAACATGCTGTCAAGACCTAAGTTGACTATGGAACCCTAAAAATCGCAAAATTGAAAACTTTGCTAAAAATCAGGAAAAAAATATGGACTACAAACAAAAAAAGCTAAATCCCATTTTAAAACCACAGTAGCGTCATCTAGTGATCAGTAGCGTCAGCTAAATGTAACATCATATTAATAATTCCCTTAGCCCTATTAATAATGATGAAGAGAGATCGATCCTGTTCACACAGATGTGTTACCGCCAGGACCACGTAATTATCTTAAATTTAATCATGTATCATTTATAATAATAACCTACCTGCCAAATATTATGAAACAAAAATATAATAAATACTATTAAAATGATCTCTATAACTTTTAAGAATCGGATATTGTAGTAAAATCCTATGACTTCATCGGCATAATTCGGGGGTCAAAACTGACAAACGAATTTTTCATAGAAGCACCCAATGATATTACAATAAAAAAGGTAGATACGTCATGTCAGTATTAATATGATGTCAAAATAGTCCTCTGTATATACACGCACGTGACATGATACTCTCCAATTATTCATAGTGGCTATCAGCAAATTTACTTACACTTAACACCGACAAAACCAAATATATCACCTTTGCCCCAAGACTCACTTCCCAACCAAATTCTGCATTTGAGCTAGTAATCCACAAATGTAAAAATATCACAGATGACCTCTGCGTCTGTGCTAGGATTACTAGAACTCATAGCTTAAAATATCTTGGTGTGATGATGGATAGCACATTGTCTTGGCATGATCAGATTGAGTCACTTACCTCAAGGGTTAGAAAACTCATTTTTGTCTTCCGAAATCTACGGGTCTCTGCTGACTTCAAAACACTCAGAACAGTATATTTTGCTCTTGCCCACTCCATTCTGACGTACTGTATTACCGCTTGGGGAAATGCTGGAAAGTCTTCATTTTTACGCTTGGAAAGAGCTCAAAGAGCTGTATGCTTATTGTAATTTACCAAGAGCTAGACACTCATTCATATCGAACACTGTGATGCGTAATTATACCGGCTTAGTTTATGATCCTAATTTTAATAAGCGAGTGCGTAGATCCGATAGAGTTTGTAGATTAGAGTCTTGTTACGTTAGCGTGGCAAGTTGACAGTATCAGTTCCTGAGCCCCAAACTGTACAACAAAATAAAGTAAATTTTAATTACTGTCATACTTTACGAAAATGTAAATCGTGGTTGAAAAATGGCTTCATACCCTTACTTATGATGAGAACGAGGAACTGCTGAATGGGTTTTTCTGAATTCCTTCTGTTTCCTTTGTATACCAATTACAAAAAAAAAAATCACACACACACACACACAGTTGATTAATTGATGACTATTAAGATAAAATTTAAAATTAATGTATCTCAAAAATTTAATATGATAAATTATAATTTTGTTCTGTTAACTCAAATAATGAATTAATTACAAATGATATTGATAATAATATAGTAGAACAAGGAACATAATATTATTTACTACTTGGAGGTGGCCTAATATTAATGTAACCCAAAAATTAAATATGATGAATTATAGTTTTGTTCTGTTAACTTAAATAATTATTAGAAATGATGATAATATAGTAATAATAATATAGGTGGGCGCTAATGGTTGCACTTCAGTTTTATTTTTTAAACTACCGCGACTTTTATCGTACACTACTTTTGTTAAATTATTTGTTCCAATAAATACATTTTTATTTTATTTATAGACTATAATTGAACATGTCACAGACCAAACGTATAATGATGCGTTTTAATGCCTACTTTTATTTAAACGAGTTAAAGACTTCGATTAACAGTTCAACTAAAAAATGTTGATATTTAACATTATTATTTCTCCTTGTTGTTAGTGTATATATTATTTGCCGGTCTATAAATAATGAAGCTTTTCAAGCGATAAAATAAACCTGACACTGACTATGTATAATAATAACACCCCTCGATCGAAATCGGAGTCGGAGTATTTTTTTTAGCTCCGGACTTAGGATTCGATCTTCCATTTTCAAACCCCGGAGTTTCGGAGTTACTGTAATATAGATTTTCAAATTAATGTAAGGTAGAGCGTAGCCACTAAGTCGAATTTTCCGTTCTGTTACTAACATAATCTTAGACAGAATTTTATCACAATTTGTAACCGGAGTATTTGCTCTTTCTATTACATATTATTTATTTTTCTGATTAAAACGCAAATCAATTAAACATGTATACTTACGAATGAAATATGACCCCTTGGTGTTTAGACGACTTACCTAGCCGGTGCGTGCGTGCTGAGGCAGTCGACGACCACCTTAAAACCTACCATGCCACAAATTCGGCCTATGGACTACGTTAGTTTTTAAGTTTATAATAATCAAAAATATTAAAAGTTTTCTTCATATTTAAAAGCTTTTATTCAACTTGGAATGTAAGTATGTTTATTCGGGTGGAATGTTTGAACTCAATTTTGAAGTACATATCTTCAACCTATTGAGTGAAAATTTTGTATACACATTTAGTTTAGATGTTAATGCATGATAAAGAATTGTGACGTTATTCCAAATCCAAAATGGCGGAATATCCAAGATGGTGGAATAGTTATTATTAAAGCACTTCTGCAATGCATTGGTATCAAATGAAAGGGCTTGCCGAGATTAATTAAAAATAATGTGGCATCACTCTAAATCCAATATTGATATTGAAATTTAATATGCTTTAAAAAAATATGCGATTAACCGGCAAACCACCTTGCAATAATGGTGCGTTGAATGAGATGAATAGACTGAGGATCCTAGCCAGCGATAGCTAAAAAGTATAAGTAAATTAAAAGCAAAACAAAAACTTAAAAAGGCTTTAAAAAGATATTGATAGATAAACCTCTTATCGCGCGGTTTAAGTAACTATCAATATTAATTTAAATTGAAAATTTAAAAATTATATTTAGCAGATTTAACATAATTGAATTGGTACTAGTTTATTTAGACAAGTAAATCGCCCGATAAGCTTTATTGTGTATTTTTATATTAATTACCGAGGTTATAAGTTGGTGGTTAAAATTTAAAAGGAAATATTTATCTTCTTCTTTTTAGAGCGTTTAAATAAAAGCATAAAAATGCCTTTAATTTTCGTTGATAAATTAATTGAACTGTTTAATCAATTCCAGTGCTACTTAACCAAGGAACATTTCACAAGTAAAATTTTAAATTTTTACCTTCTTATTAATAAGTACATTTTTCCAACTAGATAGTCCACAACGCTTCCATTATGAATGCTGTCAGTTGCTGCGGATTACAGTTATACAACTTTGGAGAAACTGTTTCAATTCCATATTGGACAAATACTTGGAAACCTGACAGCTTTTTTGAAAAAATACTGAATAATTACTCGAGAAATTTGCATACTCTATGTTTATTAGGTAGGTAAGTAAGATTTTATATGATTGCATAAGGTAATACTTCGTGATATTCGTGTGGCATTTTCCATACATTGTTTTTCATAGAAATTCACGCGCCACGAACACGTAAAACCATAACATTTTTTTGATAAACTCAAAGTGGGTATAATAATAATAAATATTAGACATCACATACTACGTTCAAATTCCAAGATAAGTATATCAAAAATGCCCCTCGTAATACCTTTAGTGGTGCGTGTCTTTTGACCTGGGGGCCAATTTTACTAAATAAATTTTGTTTACATACGATACAATTCCAGTTCTATTTTAGCCAGAATTTTATCGTGTGTCACTTAGTAGAATAGAAAAACCATTAAAAACTGTAGTTTCGTTCGGTTTCGATCCGTTTTAGATTCGATTTAAACAAAATTTATTTAGTAGAATTGGCCCCCTGTTTTGATTTGAATGATTATGTAGATTTTAATTATTGTGAATTGATATAAGTTTACCTTTTCTAGCTAATATAACTACGGATTTAAATGTTACACGCAGTCTATATTTATTGGATTTAATACTAATAGAATTTTAGATTTATTGATCTATAGTCCTTAGAATAGATCACACTTAAGGCGCGTTTGGACGATACCTTTGTTGAATTCCGTTCTCGCGTGCTATAGCATTTTACCTATATTAGACTAAATTGCTCCCGCGCAAGTCGATAATAGAGATGAATTAAATACTGTGGCGTAGAATATAGAGTTGGAATTTGATAAGTGAAAATATCGACTCGATAGCAACGCGTGGAGCCGTAGCGGGGCGGTCGCTAGAAAGTTTCTGCCTTAACAGCAATTAAGGTATCTATTACATTAATATGTTATTTTTCAGATATCAAAGTAAAAGAACCTACTGAAGAATCACTAACAAAAAAGGTACGTCAGTACATGGATCCAAAGTTTATGTCGGTTAAAGAAGCATCAGCACAATTAGTTGAAATTATTGAAAATAATCCAGCTTCGGGTAAGTACAATTGCACGGTTAACAGCAGCAACTACTACTAAACCAATCTCTTACATTTATTGATCTTGAGTTCAAGTCCTAGTCGACGATGTGAAAGGTGGATGTCTATTGTATATTGTTTTATTTATATGGCAGTAGGTACTTAGTTTTTCATAGTGTTTGTTAAGATGACTTACTTAGATGTTTTTGAAAATGTGCTAAATACGAGTATATAATACTCTAAGTACATGTTATATCTTAAAAATTGCTAAGCTCGTTCAATCCAATTTACGTTAAAAGTATACTGAGATCTTCAGTATATTATTTTTAATAAGTTTTACTATGAGTATCTTAATCTTAGTTAGAGGAGGAGAGGACATTTTATCACTTTGGAAAGTGTATCTGTCTGTGTTTATTTTTCAACGACTGACTGAGAATAATGCGAGCTACCAAGCAATCTTGCAGTTCCATTTTTTAAAATAGTAGCTGCGGAAGCTACCCGCTTTAAAAAAGTACTTATAAATAAAATAAAATACTAAAATGAATGTCACTAGATGAATATGTACGTAAGACTTATATACCTAAGTAGCCAACAGTAGTTTTCGTTCCTTCACATTTGTATCTAATTTCAGGAATAAGTAAAACTTGTAGTGCGGTTGGACTATGCAGAGTGGGAGCCAGTGACCAGAGAATAGTTGTAAAATCGTTAGAGGAGATGCAACATTTTGATCTTGGGCCGCCACTGCACAGCCTAGTCATTCCTGCACCTGAACTGCATCCGCTGGAAGCTGATTATCTAAGTCAATTTAAATAAAATAAAGATGTTTGTTTATTTTGACAGTTTTATTCTTTATTTCAAAGAGATAATTTCAATACATGGATATGACATAATTTCTTACTTCGAATAGAGAGGGTAATGAAAAAGCAGATTCTCTCGCCAAAGAGTTACGAGTATTATGGTTATTATAAGTTTACCCCATTCTGGTCATCCTTTAAGATAATAGCGTAATAACACATATTTCACTTTAAACGAAATATTTTTTAAGTTTTGCAGATACACAAAATAAAATTAAATATTTTTTAACATTTTATCTGAGACGAATACGCCTTGTAAATGGTTGCAACTCCGATGACGTCACGCGCTTGTAAATATGACTTTCTGTTGACGATTGTAGTTTGACGAGCTTTGTTTATTTACCTACGTGTGACGTCATATATGGCCTAATGGCGGCGTATGAACAGCGTCTTTCGCGCGGTTTCGGACATTGATATATAGTAAAATACGATAGTTTATCTGCCTAACGGTCAAGTGCGCTGTTTTAAAATGATGGTCGAATATCAAGGAATTTATAGAGAAATAGTACAGTTACCAGCATACCAGATAATCCAAGATAGTTAACAACACAAGTTAGTATGTCAAACTCGTCAGCCTATTTTTATTACTGCTGGGGTTCAGCAGTTGGTGCGCACCAACTGCAAATGCAGCAGGGACCACTGCCGTTCATGCCCTCAGAGGACATGGAGCATGATATGACAAATATACCGGTCACCATCTTGTGACTGACCCCCGGTGAGGGTTGCTTAGCATCGTCGATCGCAGTGCACTGACCGTTTGATGTTGGCGGCGGGTGGAGGGGGTCCGCAAGGTGCAACCCAAACCGATGTAAATAATCTCCAGTTAAATGCTAAAAAAACGAAATGTATAAAGTTTATGTTACGTAATGTAAAAGCTGAACTTACAGAAATTAAACTTAATGATGAGAAGCTCGAGATAGTTGATTCAACAATCTTCTTAGGTGTAACGCTGGATTCTAAATTGCAATGGCATCCTCACATTTCATTATTGGCAGGAAAACTAAGTTCAGCTGCCTTTGCAATAAAAAAAATTAGGCAACTTACAGATGTAGATACCGCTAGGACAGTATACTTTAGTTATTTCCATAGCGTTATGTCATATGGCATTCTGATGTGGGTTATGGCTGCAGATATAGAGTCTATATTTATTCTACAAAAAAGAGCAGTAAGGGCCATTTATCAATTGGGTTCAAGAACATCACTTAGAGATAAATTCAAAGAAATTGGGATATTAACAGTGGCCTCCCAATTCATATACAATTGTATACTTTATGTTAGAAACAATATTAACAATTTATAAACATAGTCATGTACACAATTTTAATACTAGAAACAAAGATAAACTTGTTTTGCCGTCATACAGGCTAAAGAAAGTTCTATCGTCATTTATGGGTCAAGGTGTACACTACTATAACAAAATTCCTATGGAAATTTTAAATTTACCATTACCTAAGTTTAAAACACATAATTAAGAATTGTCTACTCAGTAAAGGATAATATTTAAACGACAAAACTGCTTGGAGTTAAATATGGCTCATTTTTCATATATCGCACACCTAGATCTAAACTGAGACAACTCAAAAATTTGAGTGAGTTTTGACTAAGTACAATATTCAAATACTAGGTGATCATACGCATCTATCCAACATAACAGATTCAATAAAGGTTCGGGGATGAGTCACTAGATAACTTTAGCTTTCTTTAGTTGAATCAACAGTAGTCGCGCTCCTGCCACGTAAACAAATGTATTGTCACACCTCCACATTAGTTTTTTTGAGTTGTCTTAGTTTAGATATAGGTGTGCGATATATTAAATTGTTAATCGGTGAGCTTCTTTGGCTACAAATATGATTGGATTGACGAAAATACTGTTGATATTTTGACGAAAGTATTGTTACTAATATTGTGTCATATTGTAATGGAAAGTGACTTCAAATTTTAATGAAGTCATTTTTCAATTTTGACGCTCTATATGAAATAAAACAGGGAGAAAAAAGCAGCCCTTGCCGAGTTTCTTGCCGGTTCTTCTAGGTACAAGGTCTCCCGCCGTAGATTTACGAACCGATGGCGTAGCTCTCGACTTTCACAAGTGCTTGTAACAGCCTAGACTGAATAAATAATTTTGATTTGATTTGATGGCCGTTGCAATGGGTAACATCATTTGACGAATCCGTAGCAGTGGTTCGCACGCCGGTTTCAAGGTGTCATCTTCGAGGTCCCAGGTTCGACTCCCGGTCGGCACCATGTAGACAATGAACTTTTCTCAGTTGTCCCGGGTCTGGATGTTGTATTCGTTGTCTTAAGTGTTGGAGGGGAAAGTCCGCCGTTGGAAAAAGTTGCCGTTATTAATTTATATGAATTGTCCCGGAAAAATCGGAACGGGTGGCAACCGTGATGGGGGAGGTCTTCGCTCATCCGTAGACGTCGTAAAATGCTCTGTTGATCACGACAATTAACTAGAACTAGGGTAGTGCTCCGGTTTCGATAGACACGAAATTAACAACAAATTATTTATAGTAGGTAATAGTATTTATTATTTACAATTATGTATAGGATTAAAACCATGTATCATGATATTAACAGAACAGAAGCTGCTACCATGAAAAATAACATTCAAACCCAATGTTGGTCCACAAAGCTACCACATTACTACAACATAAAATAATTTCAATCATAAATGTTAAAAGGTACATTAATTATTATTTGGTCTAAGTTTCACAATTATAAATAATGAACATTATTAATATATTACACAAATAACGGAATGTAGATATACCAACTGGTGAATTCACAATAGGTCACATTTTAATTGGTATACATCAAACATCATTTTCTAGGTAAAACTGGAAATGGTGGGTCACATTATAATTATAATAATTAATTAGTATTTAGAGGCATGGCTTACTAAATAATGAAAATTTTACACTATATAACACTAAGAAATTGTCTTAATTATACAGTCTTTAGACTTAGCTGTAAGAGTACATAATATAATGTTAATTATGAAAATTATATAAACATGTGCTTTCTATTTGTCAATTGAGATTACAGAACAGTGAACTATATAAATAGACATTGATTTAAGAGTATTTAAAAATTTAAACGGCTGATACTTGTTGATCGTCGTCATCGTCATCTGGCGTGTCATGGTAGTAATCGTACGGCCTCGTGACTCCCTCGTGAGAGTGCGCTCGACTGAGGCGCTCGAGGCGGGCCACTTGGGCGGCGAGCGTATACGGCTGGGGCATGCGCGGTGGAGGCACAGGCCGAGCGCAACTCGGAGCAGTACAAGAGCCGTGCCCACTATCACTCGAAGTTGCTGACCCCGTTTTTCGCAGTGGCAAGTTTACTAGAGATGTTACACTACTACTTTCCGCTGACAAATCGACAGGTAAGGGCGTCGGTGTATCAGAGTGTGATCTTTCATGAGCTGAGCGGGGACAGCAAATGCCTGGACCGGGACCGTCACGGCGGTGGGAACAAGGCGACGGTCCAGGCGGTGGTGGTGGTCGTGGCTGATGTGGCCTCGTTTTAGCTGGCTCTGATAAAGCCAACAACTTCTTCACTGCTTGAGGAGAAGCAGTTCCGAATTTATTACCGGCAAAACTCTTTTTACTCTCGCTTGCCGATGATGCACTACTGGTTGTAGAGAGAGAAGGTGATGGGTGTCGGCGGCGAGGCATCGCGGGGGCCGGCCCGGCTCCCTCGCACTCAAGCGACAAAGCATGCAAACGTTCCTCGTCAGTTTCGACGTGCATGCGATTCAGATATGCTTTCACCCTTCGAACCATTTGTGCTTCTTCAAACATCTTTTTAGGATTTGGGACATTTGATGATTTTTTTCGTCTCTTCACAGTTACTTGACCTTGTTGGACACCACCTGTTGTAAGTTGATTTAGTGCAACCATTGCACTTGATGGTGGTTGTTTACCCAGCTCCAATAATGAAAACAAATCATAAGGGGAGCTACACATGTTAGTGAGAGTTCGAACTTCTTTAGCTATCATTCGAAGTTTTTCAAAGTTGACCATTCCTTCTACTTTGGTATCATTACCAAGGTGAATAAAAGTAAGGTCTTTCTTTACAACTGGATAAAATGGAATAACTGGAGATCTGCCTTGCTCAGTTGTTACCAATTGTCTATATTTAGACATATTCCTAGAAGGGTCCATTAGCATTTGGAGATCAGTGAAAAGTTTGTAATATTTGGTGGGTAATTTTTCCCAAGTCATTCTCAATCTAGATACTGCACCATGTCCTAAACCTGATATAATAGCAAACATAGAGTTGAAATTTTTGCATTCCTTGCAATGTCTCGCCACTTTTATGAACTGCTTTATTATTTTAGAACGACGAACAATATTTTGTTCATTAACAACTTCTGTCACTACCCAGAACATTTCTTTATTCACAAGCTCTGCAAATTGTGATAGCATGGGAGTACCATACCTGCTTTTTAGTTCAAACAAATCATCTACATATTCAGTACTTTCAATTTGTCGAAAGATACAAAAATCTTGCAGTGTTAACTGCACTGCTACTTCCACAGCATTTAACTGTAGAAAATGGACAACACTCTCTCGCAGTAATTCTGGAGCCATTTCATCAGGGACTAAAGTCTCACTAATACCATTTGTTTTTAAATAATACCTCGAACTGAGCCCGATTCGCTCAGCAAGATTTTGAAGTTGATCAGGTAAGCGATGTTGTTTTATTATACCTCCTTGTGCAACAGACACTTCACACAAAGAAAAGTTAGAACTTGGATCCGTGATGCCAAATTCTTGTAAAGTCAACATCACCACTTCCCGTGCTGTTGTTTCTTTGTGTACCAGAAGATATTTGCATGTTTGATCTGCTCTGTATACTTTTAGTACATGTTCAGGATAATCGGATGACTGATATTCATCATAACAAATTGAAATCAAGTCAGGATTACTATGGGAATTATAAAATGAGGTACTTGAATTAGGTTTGTTGAGAGATTCAGAATTAGACAATATGCTATCATCATTATGCAAACCATCTGTGATAGTATTTTTTGGAAGAATGTTCATTTTCATTAAAGCTTTTTGTAATCTTCTTTTCGGACCCAATGTCATAAAGCCCTTTTGAGGTTCTTTCTTAATGCTTAGCTGTTGTGGTTTTTTGGTGGGAGATTGAAAAACAGGTGTCAATATAATAGGATCATCAGTCAATAACTCTGCTGTAGAAAGTCGAGCCCTAGGGTCAGTTTGCCAGCGCACCATATTGGCACAACCACGCTGTCGAGGCGAATTTTCGGGCATCAATAACATTTGTTTAAAACTTAACAAATTGCTTTTAACAGTGATGCTCAAATGTGTTGAACCAGTTATAATTTCCATAGCTTTGGCATGACTGACATGTTGAAAGGATTGTCCATTAACCTCAATGACTTGATCCCCTCTTTTCAACCCTACTTCTTCTGCTTTTGAGTGTTTTTCAACTTTGAATATAAATATGCCATATCCCCTTTCATATCCTCCTAGAATTGTAAAATTTAAAGGTTCATCTCTAGAGGGACGAGATAGTGTTACACTTCTGGTTCTAGCTTTTGCAGAGCAGGCAATATTCAGCAGTCTCAATTGACTTTCCATCTTATTATTTTCCAAAGCAGTCTCAAAACTTTCCAAAAATTCCATCATAGTTGGGTCAGTTTCAAAATCAGTAAAATGATTATTAACCCACAGCAAAACAACTCTTGTAACTTTATCACGAACAGTTGGCTCTGAGAACCAAGCTAGCAGTTGTTTGGCAACCACTAAAGGGCTCTCTATGAAGGTTCTGTGAGTCAAGAGGAAATCCTCCACATATGTAGAGTCACGAGAGTTGTCTTCAATGAGTTGTAGCATCAAATGTTCAGGTGTTCCTCTTATTACTACATGACCTTGTTGTCGCCCTGACTCTCCTGCTACTCCTCTATACTCAGTAACTAATACAACAACACCATTTTCATTCTCATGACGCCTTATGTTTTCTTCACCTTGATGTAGTATGCGATAATAATCAGTTTGAGTAATACAAACGAACTGACAATCATCACATCTTGTGGTCATAACTCCTCTGTGATACAATTTCTCTAGAGTGGCTTCAGCCATCCCAAAACTATCACCAACATTCAAGTATTCAATTTCTCCATTTTGATGTTCAATACCAACATGTCCATTGATAAGGACTGACCATGAATCGTGTTCTTCACCATCATTCATGACAACTGTACCTGCTTTTTCAACAACTGCAAAAACCATTACAGCACATAAAGCTCGACGTACGGTAAGTGTCATATTAGTGAAAGCTTTTAAATGTTGAGTAAATTCTAATAGAATTTCAATATCTTCATCGGTTCTCTCACTTGGATCTTTCTCAAGACATTCACGAACAGCATCACGTACTGTGAGACTGTCCATACTTTCTTCCAAATCTTCTTCCTCATCCGAATCTACAATAGACTCCAAGAGTCCAGAGAGATCAACTTCCATATCCATATCGAGAGAGCTGTGGACAGAAGTCATGGTGTCACTTCCGCTGTATGCGGAGCTTGTGTCACTTGCGCTGGAACACTTTATTGTGTGGGGGTACAGCTCCGGACTGTGACGGCCTCCACGCCCACCTCTCAACATGATGAAAATTCTACAAGTGCTTGATTGTCTTCGCACCTTCTGAAATATATAAAAAAAGAAATTACTGATCACATATCCAATTTACAGTATTGAGAATGAAATATTATATAAAATAATCTGTATATAATTTTAGTCACTTATGAAGTCTATTAATTAGTTATTAAAAAAAAAAATTTTTGCATCACCTAACTGAACGGTTCCAACGTAGTTTAATAGGTAATTGGAATTTTCTTCTAACATAATATTATGACGACAGCATTATCACTTACGCTATATAGAGCTGAATTCAACATTTAAATTGATTGGATTGAGATGGATTTTTTCAATAAATGATTTAAAGTTCATATATATTTTCGACATATTATTATATTACAAATCAGAATTAGAGTTATATTCCTAGCCAGCCTAGCGTAAAATATACATTCCCTACATAGCTGTCGTAAGAAGGTACTTTAGTAGGTAGGGTATACCAAATATATAGAGAAACGTATTATTTTCATTATAATAAACTATGATTGGTTTAACAACAGTTAACGACAACAACAGATAAGGAGACAAATCGACATTACCTTCACATCCCAATTTCTATTTATTTTGCATTCATGGCGGAACTGTCAAAGCTTCCATGTTGCTTTCTAAAATATTTTATTTTTTCACCACCGCACTTATATTAAACGCTAAACTGAAATCTCAACACATATCCGTAAATAACAAGTATCTTGAAACTACGGCTAAAGCTCGTTTTAAATTGTGTACGCAAAATTTTGGAAAGAAAACTTTAGAAAGCCACTTTCTCAAAGCTGAAGATCACAGACTATGAATGAACTAAAGAATATATCACAGACCGAGAATACGAATCACACGCGATATATATTTTTTCTCTATGATATGTACCATAGATAATTTGACATTAAATAAACGGACAAGATTCATTTTTTAGTCCTAGATTGAGCGTTAATATGGTCGAAGCTCCGACCACCGACCTCCTGTTGGCTGGTTGGCCAACCGTGTGGACGGCTGTTCGACCAACTCCAATATGACCTTCGACGCCCTTGGTCGAAACGTATCGTATCGGAGTATCGCCACATAAAAAAATTACGCACAATCACGGAATTTGAAATATCACGACGGGATAAAAATTTATTATATGTGTTTAGATTTTAAACGTCACATGACAATATTTGCAACATTTATGCAACAAACAAAAATAAAAAGTATTAAACGGTATTTTTATTAATCCATTTAAAAACGATATGTAACGATATCCATCTCAAGCCAATCAATCTAAATGTTAAATTCAGCACTATAGAGTGTAAATGATAATGCTGGCGTCATAATATTATGTTAAAAGAAAATTTCAATTACCTATTAAATTACATTGGAACCGTTCGGTATTTAGGTTTAAGAGGAGGACGTTATTATGACCGGAATCTAGTCTTTCATTTACAGATTAAACTCAAAAATATTACTTTAGAATTTATAATAATTACATTTCTGAATCTTTGGAAGTATTAAAAAATATCATGTCCAGTAACATCAGTTTTTAAAGTTTCATTTCAAAATATTATTATTTTCGAAACGAAAGTGATGATCAATCACATTTGAACATGTAGTGTAAGTCAAAAAACTTCTATTAAATTCTCATTGTTTTCCTATTACCCATTTTTCAATAATAACTTTAAATAATAAACCTCTAAATTATGATATGTAGTCACGATTTCATTAATAATAAATAAAATTGAACGATGAATTCGTTCGTCGTCGTCGATGAATCTCCGTAGATTATAATTTTAATGAGGAAGTATTTAAAAAATAAAAATTAGTTCTTGAAATCATACTAGATATCACTCGTGATGTTTGGATTTTGTTTATGATATTCATTCAAATTTTGTTTCTGACGTAATAAAAGTAAATTGAGTATCGAAAATTAATAAATATGACATCGTTTTGTGTTTCTTATAATATCTAACTTTAAAATTAATTTTAATTTATTTTAATCGTAAGTTTAAGTTGTTTATTATGTTACGTGTAAAGGAACGATGTTTGGTTTATACGTCAACATTAGTGACGAGCCAACCTATTGGTTACTCGTAACTTTCATCCGAATTCAGGTTTGGAATTTAGAACAAAAAGCGGAGCGCAGAATTCAGCATGTATTTGTATGTGTCATTATGGATCCACAAAACGAATGATATTAATATAAATATCAAAATCAATTCAGTCTAGGCTGTTACATATTGCTCGTGAAAGTCGAAAACTTTGCCAATGGTTTGCAAAACTAAGGCAGGAGATCTCTTACTGACAAAAATCGGCAAGAAACTCAACAAGGATTGCTTTTTTAATTTCAACTGTACAACTCAACTATACAATATTAATAGAGGGAACGTAACGACCTAACGCACACGACACCACCGCAGAGATTTTAAGAGAGTATTACTACTCTAGGTACTTAGTAAATAATATAATTCAATAAAACTGATTTCTAGAGTAGGTTCTGTAGGAAATCAATCTATTATTAACAATATTATTGGAAGAACCAAAAAGCACATACCCACCGTACGAATTAACTTTTTAATTAACACATGGCTCGCCGTCCGCCGTCGACATTCAAGATCAGTAACAATAGTATAATAACTGTACGTGTCTTTGTGATTTTGAAATTTAAAGTTATAACCTTGCTGTTCGTTTAAAACAGACGTTTCTTGTTGATTGCTGAATGTTTATTAAGATGATTTAATGATAAATATATAATTTAATAATTGATCATAGTTTTTTAAAGTCTTAATTTCGATAGCAAAAGTTATTTGCACGTTACACTTTGCACAAACGTCATTTTAGCCAGAAGTCATGTTATTTTGTAAGAATACATAGTATATTTGATACATATCGGGTAAATAATAAACGGATTTTTTATTATAATTATCGTTGTTATGACTTTATTTGCTGATTAATAAACCCTAATATTCATCCATTCACCATACATAATATAGAAATATTATTGAGACTTGTTGAGTTTTGTTGTTATAAGTTCAATAAACAACTAATGAACTTTTTTTAAATATTAGAATAAAAATTTTTAGACCTACTATGGCATAAGTATTTTATTTATAAAAACTATTTGGAGGTAATATTATTGTATACCGTAGCTAAATGTCACTTTAAATTATATCACAGCATTAATTCAATTGATTTCCATAAATTAAAAAAAAACCTCTGTGCTCACTTCCATTATGTTAGTTTCCGTTTTCCTCTAGACAAATAAAAAAAAAATATTCAAAGATTACTATTATTATTATTTTATAATTTGATTATAAAGCAGTTTTGGGGAGATTTCAAACACACAGATGTCAGCATTAATAATTTCAGGTTATATTTTTAGTAAATATAATTTACTGATATTTTTAGCTTATTTCGGTCATATTTAATAAGTTTCACATCGTTAAGGTTATGATAATGGTAAACTGTCTATTAACTAATATATTAACAAAAGACTTCTAACTGACCTGTGATATGATACACCATCAATGCATCTTTCGGGTCTATTTTTACAAGATAAAACACTGCACATAACCATTGTTTTAAATTAAAAATAATGTCTCTTACGTCTAAACTTCACACAACATATAAAACACTTTTGAAATACACTTTTTTCTAACTTCTTTGAATAATTATGAATTCGACGGCTAAATACGAGTAAAATTTTGACATATTGGTCCCAAACAAGCTTGGTGCCAAACACACACACGGTCACATTGATAAGGACAAAAAATAAATGTTTCCATCTCGCTTTAACTAATAGAAATTGTATTAAGCCATTTCTTTCCCCGATGAATGAGATAGAACATGTTATTCCGTCTAATACTTACTCTGTCTACATTTAGATCCAACAATTTGTGCTGCCATCTAGTGACATAATTTTTTGTAGTTTCTTTATTTTTTTAAATACTCCTCATAAAAACATGTAAAATATTTTTTGTTCTTTTTGTTTCTCCAGTATGGAAACACCTTGGTCGGGATGCTTGCTTAAGAACCAGTGTGGATACCTTGACACTTTGAACAAGCGCATGCACGAACCGATGAAGGTCACCGTGGGACATACCGCGTGGACGGCACATAAGCTTGACTTTGATTGAATTGATCAGCCTGTGACAGCGTATTTCTCTAAAATTAAAAATCAGATTTCAAGATTCCTTTCTAATATTGTTGTTAAATTTCAACAGCTTTCCGCCGGCCAACATTAAAGAGAAAATCAGATTTGTGTTTTATGTTAATATCAAATTTATTTATCAGAAGGAAAAATATTAAAAGAAATATTCAAGTCCATATACTTAATGATTGAAAAATTTAGTGATTAATTAGCAAGAGACAGCAGTTGTAATACATGGAACTTCTTTTTCAGAATTTATTCATCTAGAAATCTATTTTTTAACTAAACTTAATGAGAAATTACCAACCAAGATGTTGCTTGTCGCCTGAGCGCGGCTGCATCAAAAAGTTCAAAATAATATTACTGGAAAATATTAGCTTTTTATGATTTTATGATCTTTTGTCGTTGAGGAAAATTATCATTAGAAATAATATAATATAAAATTAATTTCCCTAGTGTGGTGATATAAACTCTTTGGTTTATATCAAAAAGTAGCTTTGACCAAAGGAAACTATGACTATTCTGTCATCGATTGTCGTGTAAAGTTTTTGTTGAATAAAGCCTATTAATTTCTCAGTTTATTTAATAATCTAGAAAGGTTTATTCTACTACACCTAGCTATTATATTTAATAATATTGATTCTAATTAATAAGTTCTTTGGCTTAGATCTTATTTCAATAGATTAAGTTGTGTGTATAAATAAACAAATAAAAAAAATAAATTTGTTATTTGTTTTGTATTATTATGATTATATTATTGATTATGTCTATTTTAGTCATTACACATAGATTATCTGTTTCTTGATTATTATACAAATAAAAAGATAATTATTCAGAATTATGGTCCTGTGTAATGTTTTATACATATACATATTATTTTTTGTGAAATGTATGTCTGTAATTTGTTTTATGTGTCAATCAATAAATAAATAAATAATAAATAACAGTTATGCTAGCGAATATCGAACTTTAGCCATTCGTTGGTTGAGTCTGTACTCACCATAATATGGCTTTCGAATAACGATTCACATAAGTGATATTATTAGGTCATATTGTACCGAGACAGTAATATATTGTTTAGTGTAGATAAACTGTTGCTGTTAAGTTATTAAAACAAGCTCTATTTATTTTATATATGAATTGATTTTCTTTATTTCTCAGTTAGGTAATCAAATAATAATATAATAAATACATTTGATTGCATTAACAATAGAAAAAAAAAAAAAAAAAAAAACTAGAAAAATATGCCAAATGGTACAATTTTTTTTGCATTTTGTAAGTATATCTACTCCGTTTTTTAAATTAATACTAGAAGAGAAATAATTTTGAAACAAAAATATACGATTAACTTTTTTGTTAAAAATCTTCTATTTATTAATTTCTACTTTTTACATAAACGTACAACGGCGGATTTAACGCCGTATGCATTTTCTCCCAGGTGATATGAGATATCTGTCCCCACCATATGTGCAGGTGGGGTGCAGAATAGAGCTAGTTCAATCAAATATAGCTACTATTCCTGTTAAAAAACGTTCACAACACTACGTATACTTCACCTTTTCAGTACTCAATGTAACGTCTTAATTTATTGATTACGCAAAAAAGATTGTTGAATGAATGTATTTAAATCGTGTAATGGTATCCTACGTGAAGTTGGCAGTAATGTGGTGACGCAAAGTGCCATTAAAGTTAAGAAGAAGAAGAGTTTAATATTCATCAATAATCTACCTGACCGGCACACAAAAAAGTAGTCATATCCCTATAAAATTCAACGCTCGACCGTACTTTTAAATTATCCCAAACGAGTATTTTATGACATGCATGTTTCGAGTTTCAACATAGATAGGACCTTTAGTCGATGCCTGGCTTTATTTTCGTTTTAAATATCCATAGACTAGAAATTTTCCTAAGATGAACGTTTCCAACCTAACCGGAAAAGGTGTTAAAACTGAAGATACTTTTATTTTTTTTATCTTTAAATTGATCATTTTGTGCTAAATTATTTGATTCAATAAAATACTTATTTTATTTTTTTTATATTTAACACTAAATTTTAAGAAAGATTTATAATTTTAGTTAATTAGTCCGTAATCTGGCCAAGTGAACATTTTCTATCTCCATCTATTTTCAGATTTAGGTACTTTTCTACGAGTGTAGCGTTTTCGCAGCAAACCAGTGATGATAATCTTTTAGTTTTAATTTTGTAAATTGATCGTTTCCCATTGCGGAAAATCTCGTGGAAACATTTAATTATTCCTGTAAAAGTGTTACGTCTTCAAATTATCATATGCGTAGCGTTAAAATGCGTTCTGTTATAGTGTCGAAACGGATGGTGAGCGATGGCGAGAATACGGTGATAGATTTTTGATGTTGGATTTGATCCGTGTCATCGTTACCTCAGATTTCGATTACATCTTACAAAACCGTAACTCGTTTGTTATCGACGTCTTAAGTGTTATTATTTAACAAATCTTCAATTATCTCGGACGATTATTGTTGAAGAAATATATATTGTCATTGACTGACCGGCTGATATTACACGAGGCTTGTATGTATATGTGACTTCTACCTTCTGCTATTCGTGACACGCCTCAGAAAATAAAGTTAGATTTGTGAATCAAATTATTTCTTTTTGTTATTGTGTCATTTTAGTGTTATAGACGTTTATAAATTACGTAACTATTGTGGAATCTTGTGTGTATAAAGAATGGCCTGAGTGTGGTCACTCCATTACCGTCATGTATGACGATGGAATGTTTGTTTAGGCTCTAATATTGTGCTGCGACCTTACGGGAAGTGCGCGTTCGTCTCGTATATTGGACTGGATCATGACTGTGTTCGAATCAAAACAAGTAAATTAATCACTGTCGGCGTAAAGTCATTTGGGACACTTAGCGTTTTATACACACACAAAATGTCTTCGGGAACGTTTGTGGACAGGATTGACCCTTTCGCCAAGCGGTCATTGAAGAAAAAGACGAAGAAATCCCAAGGATCTTCACGTTATCGTAACACGCAGGATGTAGAGTTGCAGGCTCTGCCACTGCTCAAAGGTAAGTGTACCTCTTCTTCACGTCATTTTGACACCAATACAATTCCATTTTATTATAAGCAATAAGATAAACATCAGTGGTTAAGCAGTTCATTGAACTTTGTGATAAGGGTTCTTTATTTTGTGACCCCTAATTGGCATTCATTATTTGCAAAGTAAGAAATTTAAATAGGTTAGGAGTTAGTAACCAAGAAAAGCCTTTGACACTAACCATGTTTTTGTGTCATACTTTGTCATTGATCATTGAACTATGCATGCCTACTGTATATCACATTATATTGTTGTATGCTCTATGATTATGTATGCCACAATAGATAAATAATGATTAATATAAGTTCCTATGTTAACATATGAAAATTTTGGTAAATGTTATTAGATGTATGCATATGATGTCTATGAATGTTTATTTTTCATAAAATTTTATTCACATATTAAATTCAATGCAGATATCTAAGGATAATCTTTGGGCTTGAGGTTTTCTTGGGCTTGAGATTTGGTTTTTGATGTAGCTCTAAGTGTGAATGTGATTTGGCAGATTACATTCCTTAAAACAGGTAGATACTCCATGATTAGTTATTAGTGTTTGAAGTCAGTGTAACATATAGAATGGTGCACTGCATAAACAGTTTTGTTGCACTCTGAGATACATGTATATTTACTTTGTTCGTAATCTAGTTGACATTATTGGCTAGTATTTTTATAGTACTTTTCTGTAGTGTACTCAGAAAGTTGTTATGGGGTATGTTCTATTGGGCTTCAAGGTTGTGTTCTATTTATGTGAATTATATATTTATTATTATTGAATCTAGGTCATGATTGGACAAACTTGATCAAAGAATGATCAGAATATATACTTCCCAAGGCTTTAGTAAATTACAAACAAAATTAAATTAGTAAATGCAGTTTTTAAAATTCAATTATTATAGTATAATGCCATATGAGGCATACCTAAAATTCTCCAGCATGTTAAACAAATGTGAAAAAGGAACTGCCTTTATTTAGATATCTTTGTATCATAAGCAGGTGTAAACTGAGATGATATTTTGAGAAAGTAGGAATTTAAGAGTTAAATTTCTTTCAACCCATACTTTAAAAGAGGTGTGGCAGATTTAAAGTTGTTGTAAACTGTTCTGGTTGTGGTTCTGGTACTTTGAACACTCTTGGTTTCAGCACTTTAGTTACTTAGTTTTGTATATGATGTTAAATTCTTATAAGTTTCTATTTAAGCTCCTTAATTGTCTGTCATCTTTTAGAGTATCATTTACTCTCTTTCATACCTTTTGATCATGTTTTTTAGATTGAAGATTATTTTGTCACTTTAAAAAAAAATACAAAAAAAAAAAATACCAAAATGTAATAAGTATTTTACATTTTGGTAATCATGGGCATCTTGTATTCTAAAGGGCTTTTTCATGACAGTTGAGGCTTTTGAATGATTAAGGTTGTAATGGACATTATCTATTTCAAGTTATTACATGAAAAATATAATAGTGATACAAAATATCCATTTTATCCAATATCCAAATGGATACAAAATATCCATTTTATCCAATATCCAAATGGATACAAAATATCCATTTTGTATCCATTTGCAACATATAATAAAATTCATTGTAATAATTAATTGATTTTTATTGCTAACACTTGCCTATACATCTTTATTTATAAGAACAGAAAACAATGTATAACTTATACAGTTTCATTGGCATTTGCATTCAAGTTTTAAACTCAATATTCTTATATTATAATTCAATATGTGTGTAAGACCAATGATGAAAGTATGATGACTTCAAGCCCTCAAAATAGATCTAAATTTGATAATTTGTATTGGTAATGTTGTAATGTTGCTTGGTTCTGCATTCTACTTTAACAATAGTTCTTAATTTTTTAAGATATTATAATTAAAATAAGGGTTGGAGCAAATCTGACAGAAGACCAGCCACTAATTATCAATTATGTGACACACACTGATATGTGCCAACCCATAGACTTCATTTGTTACCAATCATACTGTCAGAAAATTTACAAAATAATATGTTTATTAATATATAATAATTAATATTGTCACTTTCAGATGTTGCAAGCAGCGAACAAGAAGAGCTGTTCATTCGTAAGCTGCGGCAGTGCTGTGTAGCTTTTGACTTCATGGACCCTATTGCTGACCTTAAAGGCAAAGAGATCAAACGTGCCACTTTAAGCGAGCTCGTAGAGTACATCACTGGTGGGCGTGGGGTGCTCACTGAACCGGTGTACCCAGAGATAATTAAAATGGTAATGTATAAATCAATTTTATTTCATAATTGATTCCGAAATCATGGAGGTCATGATTTCATTTCCACTTCTATTGGGATATTTTGTGAATATATTTGAGGATTAAATGACATTCTCCTTTATTACACTTTAACTTTTAGTGTATGTTTACCAAATATTGCAACTGATTTTAAAGCAACCGATTACACTGAAATTTTGTATAAAGATTTAGTTTAGATGACAATGATATTGTTAGCTGAGTTACATCATTTTCAATCTTATATAGTGGCCTTGTAATTGAAAAGATTTACAAAGAAAAATACAAAATAAAATCTATACCCATCATTGTAATTTTATAATATGGGTATTATATGAGATATAAACTATAAAATAAATGTTAATAAATTTATTAATGAAAGTACTTTCGAATTGTACAACATTTTTCACCTACCATGCAGGGCATCTTTTGTCTGACAAGAATAGGTACAAGAAACTTATCAGTAATGACATTTGAATAATATCACTACTTTACCAAATAAAATAAATAGATAATACATTCAATAAATATCAATGTCGACACTATTAAGTGATTCTCTACACCAAATAATTACTTAATATTTAGTTTATACAATAATTTGACAGTACATTTATCACTGGGAAACCGTTTAGTGTGATAAAAATTGGGAAAAAGATATTATACTAGCATTTATTTTTACATGACCATGCGATGCGGGCGAAGCTGCTGGCGGAGAGCATCGCCCGCATGGTCATGTAAAAATAAATGTAAATAAACTCTTTATAGTGATGAAAACTGCAATAAAATCTGTTGTGTAGTTTAAAAAGCAGCTTACAGACAGCGAAAAATAACTTTTTTAACCAAATTTCATCAAAATCAGTTCAGCAATTTTTGTTTGAAAGTCTAAGAATCATACGTACATCCATTCTCACAAACTTTCGCATTTATTATATCCTGCTAATAATGTAAATGCGAAAGTTTGTGGAATATATAATTAATCGTATCATACATACCCAATGACGTATTCATAATAAAAGAAAATGGATTGAAGTAAGAAGAATACAGCAGATAAGTAAGAGCATTCACGAGCATGACGCATAACCAGCCATTGCTTAACCATGTTTTAGGCAACGTAACGACTCGCTTTACGCGACATTGCTACAGAGATTTTTAAGAAAAGATAACTTTAACGGTATCTTCATTAGGTATTTACATATATGACATGTACCTAGTGAATAACTTAGTGCTTTTATAAATGCCTGTAGGACACGGTATATAACACATAATACTAATTAAAATATATTTATATAGTATACTTCAAGCCTATTTACTTTGTTGATCCTAGTTTTCCTTATTATCAAACCAGTGTGTTAAATTAATGGTAGGTATTTTATTTATGAAACCTACATTACTTAATATGTATTTTATATCCGCCAGAGTAACCAATTACCTAATAGTAATCTTTGTTCATATGTTCACATACTGTAGTTCAAACTCCATCAGTGTTAGATCCCACCCACTTGTTTGTACGGCTTTCTCATCTATACATATATAAAACGAGATGTCCTGACGTATTAACTCTCAGACAACGCAAAGCCTAAAACAGGTCATAGAGACTTGAAATTTGAAGGGTAGACTCCTCTTATTACATGAGGTTTACTAAGAATGGATTTTTGGCATCAAAAATCCGTTCGGGGGGATCCGGAGGGGGTCAAAAAGGGTGAAAATGTTTGTATGAAACTTCTTTGTTTTTATACCTATATGATGGTATTTGGGTAGTTTAAGATTATTTACAAGTTGATTTGGCATCGTAATAAATATATACAATATTATTTATAATGATTTACTTATATTGTGATAAAAATGCGTATTTGAGTACATAATTGATAACAAAAATAACATTTTAAATAAACATATTTGATAATATTCCTGAACAAATCATTTTATACTAAAACACAAAACTATATATTTTGTATTATACTAGATGGCGTGAAGTATACTTCTACATCGCACTGTTATGGTCAAGGTTGAGTTTTCAAATAAATATAGTAAGAAAGGTTTGCTATGCTGATAAGTAGCTCGGTGGCGTAGTGGATAAGCCTGCGGCCCGCGATCGTTGTTGATAAGTAACTTTCGTAAGGGTCGGTCAAGGGATAGGTGATCGAAAAATTATTAGCTTGAGCTACTCAATCAATTATCATTATCATATATATATTTAACCATACCCTTAAAATATAAATATTAAAATCATATAATTAATTATATTTATTGCTACAAACTAATATTCTATTATCCTTGACAGTTAACCACTTCCCTAGACTTTGTACAGCAGCTGTACTACAGCCGCACTGTAGAAGGACGTCGTGATGGTTACTCACCTGATCGAAGTTTAGCAGTGGAATTATTTGCACGGCTAACCTTATGGCGCTATTCTATTATAGATCTAGCCGCCTAATTCGATGTTGACTACAATATGTTCATTATATAAAACCAATTTAAAGTTTGAATTTAAATTTTAATAGCTGTGAGTTTAAAAGTCGACTAAGCAAGTGTGATTTATTATTTCGACAACTGTCTGGTAAACTCTTACTATATACTAAGACTATCTCTACTATATGATGCAATCTATCTATCTATTACTATACTAGAACTATCTATTACTATATGATGCAATGAGCGACAAGGAGAATCGTTTAATTATTCCTTACTAATATTATACATGCGAAAGAAGTTCTGAGTATATATCTTTTACGCTCTCACGCCTAAACTACTAAACAGAGTTGACTTGAGATAGGACAGTCTGTTTTTTATTGTGATAAAAGGGTTGAAATAAAGAAATAAAGTTTGTGTGGAAGTTCGTATTTGTCAAAGATAAAGATAATGAATAAATATTCGTTTTGGAAATGCCCAAAGTTACTTATACCACGCGGACGAAGTCGTGGGCAAAAGCTAGTCATTTGATAATAGTAGTATCTTTAGTTTTAAAAGTTAAGTCTGAAAGGAAGAGATATAGATGTACGTTACTTTTGCAAAAATAGGTCGATTTGATTAAACTTTGAGATATATAAATATTAGACAAATAATCATATACATTGCTCAGATTTCAAGATGAGTAACTAAAATCCCCACATTATAGACTATCTGAGACAATGAAGGTAACGCTACACTCAGATCCGAGACGATATAGAAAAGTCCGTTTTCTCCATGACCCAACCGGGATCGAGCCCGGGACTACGGAGATGGCGAGAGACACCTTGAAACCGGCGTGCGGCGTGTTAGGGAGTTCGTATCTATATTACATCTATTTTTTAACTCCCTTTTATACCTAGTCATTATTAAATAATGCAAAACTATGTTGGAGCAAAGAGATTTCGTTCTAGGCGTCGGGTGTCGGTCCGCCGATGCTTCTTCATCTGGTGTTAATCACCACCAGATGAAAAAGCATCGGCACCATCTAAAAATGCATATCACGCTTTTTTTACTTCATTAATGTGTGATTTTATGTCCTGTATCTCCAATATATAAAATTTTTTCCAATATATAAAATATGACACTTAATGACTCGCATGTAATGTTTATATATCTTGTAGCATAAGCTCTGTTAGATCCTAACCAAAGAGACGTTAAAAACTGATGAACGCTAATTACCGTAGCATGTCAGTTTCATTACGAACATGTTTCCAATATCTGCAGATAATATTTTAAGCTCATAATGTTTATGGAAAAGTCAACAAATAGCATTTATAACTGTAACACCGGACACAGATGGATATTAAAACTGGTTATTGCGTTATCATTATATAATTATTTATACTTAATGACATATTAAATCTATTTCTCATTAATATCCAACTCGAGAGACGTCTTGTCAAACCCTACACAAAAACAGCACTTCGGTTTGTGTCTAATTTATTTTTTTCCTAGCGACTTGAAAATGAAACTTGTCTATTTTACTGATAGAAACTTCTTCAGACATTATAATCAAGTAGTTTTATCCAATTTATGTCAATAGCAAGCGACTAACAGCATTTCTGACTCTACTAGATATATCTGTCAGTAGTTCCTAACCGCTTTTGGTCAAAGGACAGGCTTTTTAATTTATTTTTTGTTAATTTAAAGATAAAGAATAAATATTCGTTTTGGAAAAACTGCCCTAAGTTACTTATACCACGCGGACGAAGTCGTGGGCAAAAACTAGTCATTTGATAATAGTAGTATCTTTGGTTTTAGCAAGTTAAGTCACACAACACAGTTCACAGTCAAAAGTGGGTAATTAAATAAGCAAAATGCTATGATAAAAAATATATATTTAGTTTAGAAGTAAAGTATGTACGTATTTAATAATTTGTATTATAGCAAACTATATTTTGAATGAATATTTTGTAAATTCATTAATAGCTAAAGCTATTTTCATCGTTTCTAGATCGAAAATTAATTAAAGTGAATTAGAATCATAGTAATTGAGTATAAAAATATATTTTAGGTATTTTTTATTTGAATAATTGTGCCTGATATTAATTTAACTTCACTGTTTCACTCGAGTGACTGAAATACATTATTTATTAAATTAAATATAGTATATTTAAAGGTTATTTTTAAATAATCTTCAAATTATTTGTTTTAAAATTATAAAAATAAATATTTTTGAGATCTTCACCACAAACGCTTTCTTTTGATATGTTATATAGTTTGCAACGGTTTAGCAATATCTTATATTATCTATTAATAAATCTTTGAGCTATTCTCAGTGATATTCTTTGATAGAGTGCAGGCCTCATATTAACATACCACTTCCTTCAGGCGCAAAGTAGAGGCGCCTGTATCTTTTTAATGGGTACTTACTAAAAGTTAATAAGATCAATCTACCTACTGTATGTCGCCTGAATATTTTGTTTGTTAAGTTTAAAATTTATTTCTTATATTAAAATAAGTCTCTAATTTGAATTTCTTTTAAAGTTTACTAATCATTTTTTCTTAACAGATATCGGCCAACCTATTTCGCACTTTGCCGCCGAGTGATAATCCCGATTTCGATCCCGAGGAAGACGACCCGACTCTGGAGGCCTCCTGGCCTCATCTGCAGCTGGTCTACGAATTCTTTTTGCGCTTCCTGGAGTCCACTGATTTTCAGCCCACTATTGGCAAGAAGGTCATTGACCAAAAATTCGTTTTGCAGGTAATATATTCATTGTTTTTTTTTTTATAAATATTCGAATGTTAATGTATTCTATTAAATTTAATATCACTAATCAGAAGTATCATACATTTAGTAATGAATAACGTACCATCTGAAGTTGAACTAATTAACGGTCATTGAGTCTGTTGCTCTTTGTGCGTTAACTTATAAAATTCTCAATATATCGTTTTTATTTTTAACCGATAGCTGGCTGTGATAATCAGAAAGATTTGAGTATTATATCAGTTTATCAAATATTGATTGAAGTGGGCAGGTATTAGATTTGATAACCGGCTATTTCCCGGTGTTACCTTTTATTATGACAGATTGTATTAAACTGAGTATGTAATGTGTCTATTGACGTATGGTTATACCATGAAATAATTATGTCTTTGGTCCAATAGCTTTTAGACCTGTTTGATTCGGAAGATCCGCGCGAGCGCGATTTTTTGAAGACTGTGCTTCATCGCATCTATGGAAAGTTCTTGGGGCTGCGTGCTTTTATACGCAAACAAATCAATAACATATTCCTACGATTTGTCTATGAAACTGAACATTTCAATGGCGTGGGGGAACTGTTGGAAATATTGGGAAGGTGAGTATCGATTGTGTAAATTTTATCTATTACCTTATCTAAGATATCTATAATACGTAACGGTCAAATTGATTAATCGGTAATTATTAAAGATACTAATTATGGTTAAAAATAACTAAGAAATATGACTAAAGGGAGAAATTTAGTGATGTAATGATTTGTGGGTTTGTTTTGTTCTGAAAAAAGAAAAATCTGGAAGAGTTACGTAGCTGAGTGAGAGCATGCTGTATGTAGCTCATGGAGTTAGTAAGTTTTCATATAGTGAAGATGATTTTTTCTATATTGTCTTTGTTTAGGAATTTGACTTATTGTGGTATATCATTTTTTCCGATCGTTGTGACCCACTCTAGGTAGGTATAGCAGCAGGCAGGATAGGTTAAGCAGGTTTGACATTGCAATGTGCTTTATTTTTAATGTTTATTTAATTAATAATACATCCTATCATTAAGCAAATACCTATAAAGTGATTCTCTTGTTGACTGTTATATTGCATTAACATTTTAAACACAACTGGCAAATAATTTTTCTATTTTCCTAGTAGACAAATATTTCAATTTTAGAACAAAAATGTATGAATCTAGGTACCTGTATAAAAAGTTGACTTTTAATTGTGACCTGATGAAATAATATTATATTATGAGTTTACGCCTAATTTTGCATATGTAATGAATCACTATATGATATAAAACATTCAAAATGACAACTAACTGAATACTCTTTTTATAAGTTTGCACGTTTTTCTCGTTCGTTCGTTATGGGTTATTGATTGTGTAATGTGTAATCGTGTTGCAGTATAATAAACGGATTCGCTCTGCCGCTGAAGAGCGAGCACAAGCAGTTCCTGGTGAAGGTTTTGTTGCCACTGCACAAGGTGAAGTGCCTGTCGTTGTATCACGCGCAGCTCGCGTACTGCGTCGTGCAATTCCTAGAGAAGGACGCCACCCTCACTGAGCCCGTTGTGCGCGGACTACTCAAGTTCTGGCCCAAGACTTGCTCACAGAAGGAGGTATACCGCTCACTTGTCATATATTTTACTGGCTTTCCGCCAGCGGCTGCGCTCGCGTGGTTCTTAGGGAACTTGTTTACTTGGATTGACATTCATATCATGATACAGATCTTCATATCATGATACATTACAATGATAAATTGAATGGTAAACAATGGTTGCTATAGTAACATTTTATGATTTCACTTCCGTTCTCATACCTTTATTTGCTGTTGTATGGGATAAAAATAGCCTATCTTCGCCGCATATTATGTAGCTTCCCGTAGGTGAAAGAATTTTTTTATATCTATCCACAGTAGTTTCATAGCCTATTTATTACAAACAAACAATGAAATGTTCCCTCTTTATAATATCAGTATAGATTAAAAGTTGAAAACAAATACCATTATATTATGTGTGATTGTGGAATGTTTTTATTTTATTTTTTTATATATTTATTCGCAGGTGATGTTTTTGGGCGAGATAGAAGAGATTTTGGATGTAATTGAGCCGGCTCAATTTGCGAAAATCCAAGAGCCTTTATTCAGGCAAATAGCTAAATGTGTTTCCAGTCCACATTTTCAGGTAGTTGTTATTCATGTTACATAGCCATTATTGAATTCAAAGGTACAATAGATAAAATTACACAGAAAATCTTATATGTTTTATCACACAAGCTACAATATGACACACAAATAAAAAATACATTTTTTTAGTAATATGATTTGTTTTATAATTTAAAATGAAGTATTTTAGAACAAATATAAATTTAAAAGTAACATGGATATGAAGTTCATTTGTTTGATGCCGTGGAAATTCTCAATTGCAGGTGGCAGAGAGAGCACTGTATTTTTGGAACAACGAATATATATTGTCTTTGATGGAGGAGAACAACCACGTGATCATGCCGATCATGTTCCCGGCGCTGTACCGCATCAGCAAGGAGCACTGGAACCAGACCATCATCGCGCTCGTCTACAACGTGCTCAAGACATTCATGGAGATGAACTCGAAACTCTTCGACGAGCTCACCGCTAGCTACAAAGCCGATCGACAGAAGTGAGTGCTTGTCTATAGGAAGATTATTTTTTTCACTTTTTATAGCCTCGAATTCTGTTTTGATGTAGTTTAGAAGGAAATTCTAAGTTTCCATTGTACATATTTTTCTTCCCTACTTCTCGATCAATCGTCGTCTCAACATTTACTTTTATCTTATCCATGTCATCTTTCACATAGCTTATGGAATGAAAACTTTATTTTTTATAAAACACCACCGCACGCATCATCGTAATTTGATATATCGGATGGCTGCACACTGACGTTTTTAATTGAACTGGAAGTCATAAAATGGCGACGCGATTAGGATGTTTGCCGATTAGGAAGAGCAAGAGACCAATTTTCAAAATATGGTTTGTAAATTCTAGATAAAGTCGTGTTAATACTGATAATCAACATCAAAAAATGTTTATTCTTCAGCTTGGTTTACAATTTTAATAAACCCAATAATATTAAAAAATATAATGTATAAAGTTACATGAATCCAAAATTTTTTTAGCTAATTTAGTTTTCTGTGCTGTCAGTACAAAATGTCAGCTAAGCCGTTAATTTGGTAGCGAAGCCGATTCTATTATTGTTTGGCTCGCATTATGTTCTATTATACATAGTATGTAGTATCATCGAAACTCTATGTTGGAGCTATGTAAAACTGACGATACATAGATGTGAATAACCGTGCCCGCAGAGAGAAGAAGCGTGAGAAGGAGCGCGACGAGCTGTGGAAGCGGCTGGGCGAGCTGGAGATCAGCCACAAGCGGCAGGCGGCGGGCAAGTGACTGCCCCGGCCCGCCCCCGCGCCCGCCGCCGCCGCCGCCGCCGCCGCCCCCGCGCCCGCCGCCGCCGCCCCCGCGCACGCCCCCGCGCCCGCGACTCGCGCCCGCCCCGCGCCCCCCGCGCCCGCGCCTCACATTTTACTTTCAGTTATGTATTGATGTTTTCTATTCGATTACACTTTTGTTAACGACGTTATTAATTTTTTCCACCTCCGAGGATCCGTTCGTGCGGGAGTCCGGCTCCCGGTCTCCTTTAGGATTGTCCGATGCGGTCGAGCGATCGCCGGCGGTGGCCGCGTCGGTCGGGCGCCCGGCTCGTGGCCGAATATTATTGTACAAAAGATTAATAGGGAATTTGAATATGTAACTCGTTTAGTGGCGGCCCCGGGCGGACGGCGCATCCGCCGCGGGGCCCCTCGTAGATCGTCGTATGAATTTACGTTTAAAATTAGTCGCTCGATTAAACGATGTATTTCGTCGTCCTATCATTTTGTATAGTTACATAGTGTAAATAGGCATTTATTTATTATAAATTTATAGCAGTGTGATTTTTATACATAGCGGCGGGAGTGGGACACTATTGGGCATGATCGGTCGGAGCGAACCGAGAGATAATCGCGCGTCACGCGTACGGCTCGGCGGACTAAAGCGTCAACTTGATCGTATCGGAGTAGAACAATGCTAAAGTAGATATGATAATTTGTAAGGGAATAGTCATTAATTTGTATGATATTACTGTAGCCATTAATTTTTCTATCATCACTTGTAGAGCGGCCGGCCTGCGCTGGCCGCCCAGCGCTGCTGCGCATGTATGTATGTACACTATGGAGATGTTTGTTATGTAAAATGTATTAACATTGCAAAAATTATATATGATCTTATATAAAATTACTATTATAGAACACAGTATGAAAATAAAAAAGTTGACTCACATGAATTGAATTCTTTAAGTACTAATTGTAAGCGTAGGCGTCCCGCGGCGGCTTGTGGCAAGCGCCGGCCTCGCTCGCCCGTCGTTGTACCACCTACTGTCCTGAGCTAACGTTCCCCTTGTCTGCAATCAGTTGCGCAACTGCATTGGAAATACACAAGAGATTTTCACATTACTCCGTTTTTCATTTCACTAACAGAGGCCCGATTATCAATATTCATCTGACGATCGGTCTAAACAAACCTATCGAACACGCCTGTAGAAGTTGAAAATTACATTGATGATGCTTTTTCGACACCACTGTTGGCTTTTGTTTTTTTGTTTGCTACCAATTGCCTACATAAATGTCTGCCTGTCCTAAATGTGGCGAATCACGTGTATAAAGATTAAAAGTTATTTGGATTTTAACTTATACAATTAATTTTAGATTCATTTGAAGTGAAATATTTAATTCTTACTTGTTGCTAATTTGGTATAAAAATACTAAGACCAGGTAAAGGTAACAACACAAAAAAACAAAATGAAAAAAATAAACCGAATCTATATTTTGATACATGTCATTGTTTTGAAATAACTTGTCTGATTGTGTATTATATTTGATCAATATTGCATTAACAAAGCTATATTGATATGTTTGTCGAGTGAGGTGCCACTTGACCTTTTAAAGCCTTTTCAAGCGTTTTTGTTTAATATAACGTATCTAAACCACAAAGTAGACTAAAAATTCTTAGCCTAGAACTATAAATGAATAGTCTTAAAGTATCCTAGTTCGGAGGGATTTTAGGGATAAATTTTTGAGTGTTGTTTGTTGTCACTTATCACCACACGAACGTCTAATGAGGTCGTAGAGATAGATGAGCGGTAGATATGGCAGGGATTTGCTCACGTTTTAAGACCTCCATGACCTAGTTTGCAGATTTTGCAGGTAGTAATATGCAGAAGTCAAATAAGAATAGGATGACAAACGGCCATCTAGTTTAGCATTGCGCTTCAACTCCAGGGTGTAAGGTGAGCAAAATAGTAACGAAAATATTTTATAAATCAATGGATTATCGCATTATGTTATAACTAATTACTGGACATTGACATTTGTAATTGGACACGAAATGATAAAATGGTGATGCCTTTAAGATTGCGACCTTAAACGTTGCAATACGTATAACATGCATAAAGGTAAACGAATCCAAAATGTTTATTTTTTGTACTAAAATGACAGTATTTAATTTTCTTTACTGTCAGTACTAAAATGACAGCTAACTCGTGGGGTGCGCCCGCTAACTTTCTAGTAATAACTCTAGCTATAGGACGACATCTTTGCGAATATTATTTCGAAATTTCCTTTCATTTTACTATTTTGACATATTTTCTGGTGAATTATTGGGGATAATTGACTACGTCGTCATTATTTATCATTTGTTCTTCGTTATTAAAGTATACGTCACAGTAGTAAAATGAAACGAAATAGTGATACCGTCCCTAATAAGTTGTATCCTATGGCTAGAGTTGTAGCTAGAGGAGTTAGACGGTCGCTCTGCTTAAGTTGTTAGCAATCTCGATCCCATTCTTATTTGACTATACTATATTTAACTTTCAATGGATAGTTTTTATCTGTAGGTACTTACATAATATATCATGTATTTCAAGATATTGTACATTACATCTTACGATGGTGTTGTTCACATTTTGTAGGTATTTTAATCAGTAAATATTGGCAACTAAAGGCATTTTTATAGAGCTGTGCCACAAAAAAATATTCATGTAAATTGACATACTGTGATAACCCACAGTCAAAGCTTTTCTATACATATGTCTTCGCGATATCATAAATTATACATCTGAAAAAGAAGCGAGAGACAACATAAAAGTGTTACAAAAATTTTTACTTTAACATTTCTTTTGTCTAGATACGTAAAAATATGTCTAGGTGTTACATTATATGTAAGTATATGAGGTAAAATACCAGATGTGGTGAAAAAATACTCTCAAATAAGCGGCACAGGTACATCAAGTCATAACGTTATATCAAAACAAAATATCAAAGAGTAAAGCAAAATATGTATATAAAGAATATCTAATCTTCTGGCAAAATGTCATTTACAATATTCGGATACACTCACCTAAACCCGAAACGTTTTTTATTGCACAGCTTTGCAGCTCGACAAATGTAATACCTTTTTTTTGTGTTAATCTTAAAATAATTTATTTTTAAACACCTTTGCTCGTAAAGCTGATGTAATTCCACCGGTTTTAAATATGTAAAGCGGGTCATAAAAAACGCGTGTGTTACCAAAGCAAATAGTTAAGTTATAGTCCATACAAATTCCATAACAGTATTATTTGCCATTTCGCGCTGTTGCTATTCAAATTTCGAACTAGGCGTAGTATTTGATGCCAAAATGAGTTTCAGTCATCATTGCGAGGCGCTGTCTAAGAAGTGTAGAAGATTGGTGGGTTTCATTTGTCGTTCGTCTAGAGAGTTCAAGTCCCCAAATAGCCTTCTCTTGCTGTACAAGTCGCTGATTCTTAGTCAGCTGGAATACGCCTCAGTGATTTGGTCACCACAATATAATGTCCATGTTGATTTACTGGAATCTATACAAAGGCGTTTCCTTAGAACTCTCACGTTAAGATTCAGCCGCAAAAGAGAGCTCACTAATTATGATGAGCGTCTCCGCTTTTTCAAGTTAGAAGCTCTCGAGGATAGACGAAAGGTACATGACCTCATGTACCTACATAAAATTATTTGTGGCTCTATAAATACCAGTGTCTTATCAGAAATAAACTTCCGAGTCCCTAACAGATCTGCCAGACGAGAATATCTCTTCTCAGTGCCATTTCTTAATAATAATGTTTCCTTCCATAACCCTATACACAGAATGTGCCGTGAGTATAACGCGTTGTTGGATCGACTTAATGGTGAGCCTGACATCTGTCATTCATCTATTAGTAGTTGGAAGTACTTTTTAAAAAAACAGCGACGTTGAGCGCTGTTTAAACTGTAATTTAACGCATTTGTTTGTTAATGTTGTTGCTATGATTATGCATGCTGTTTACACATATGTGTGGAATTGCAACCTACATCTGATTGCTTACTTTTTTTGTTGCTTGATTATATATATTGTTGTTATTCTGTCTTGTGTAACAATTAAAATAAATAAATAATCGCCGCGCGGCGCCAGTCAGTAGGCAGCGCTAGCGCGCTGTTAAAAAGGCTGGAAAGCAACAGTGTACATTCATATATATAGGGTATGTTCCGATATACACTGCGAGCACTTACTTACTGCTGAAAAATCCGTTCCGTTATGGACTGCCAGTACACTGCTACAGTACCGTAGGGAAATTTATGACGTCATGAATTGCCGCCATATTTGTACTGTGAGCACTGGAGGTTTAGAGGTAAGGTGCTCGCAGTGCTTTTGACCACGTGATCAGTCGAAACAGATAAAATAAAATACTTACGTTTATTATAAGATGGATTTAATTGATAAATATTTTTTTTATACAATTTTCCAATTTTATAATATGTTCTTTTGAAAAGAGGGAATCTTTATATTTGAATTCACCTTGCATTAACAAATTTGAAAATGGCGCCAAATATAGGATTAACAGTATACTGGACTGCGTTCCGTTTTAAAAAGTCACCAGTATGACTAACTATAAAGGAACGGGCTTCCAGTATACTAAATTGACGTCATACTGTTCAGTGGTCGCAGTGTATATCGGAACATACCCTGAGTTTGTTTAATGTTTTTTTTTCTGTTTCCTCGCAAATGTGTTAAAAAACGTCGTACGATATACGTGTGTATTGGTTATAACATGCTCGGCTCAATTATGCCCTCGCCTTCGGCTCCGGCTGAAATTCCGCCTCGCGTGTTATAACCATCATAACGCACTAATATCGTAATGTACTATTATTAACAACAAAAATAAGCTTCAGATAGCTGTATTTTTCTATTTAATCTAAACTTCATTACCAAGTAGTAATTGTGTTTATAATATGCGTGTATCTAAACGCAAATTAATTATGACTTGGGATCGTACTTTACTATGCGTAATACAAACACCTAAAATATTTAAATATCTTGATAAAATAAAAGTACTATTTTTATAGCATGTTTTGTCGCATTATCTGGAGAATTTTGATCGGCACCATACATTTCAATTTATTTTAAATGTGACTTCTATAAATTGATAATAATTACTGTACATTTCAATTGATTTTTTGGTCATTTAGTAAACTTCTTTATGCAATTAACATAATGTAGGTATATAGGTTTTCAATTCTTTGAATGCTTGTAAAATTTATTTAGATAACTCGTATAATTTGAGCTCATATAACATTATCAGGTCACTTAGCATGATTAAACATATAGATAAATATTAACAACAGAATTTAAGAAGAATATTATATAATGCTGGGTGCGTTTTCATATTTAGGCGTTTAGTCGCATGACTTTAATATTGATCTCCACGCCAAGCGAAGGTGTCAAATGTATGGATAGCCAAACCTGGTCTTGACTTAGAAATACCGTGGCTTAAGTAGCTTATTTGTGAAGTCTTACTTTACAGCATAACGATTCAAAAGGCTTATTTAAATTAGTCGATAGAATCCGCATTGTCGGTTTAGGTGATTTATGGCATACATTAACATACACGGTCATTGGTTTATTGACTAATAAAATTCCCCGCTGTGGTCGCCTGCACTCCGCTTGCTGACCCCGTCAAATGTAAATAAGCCATGCCACTGGAGGTGACTATGCAAAACCATATTAATTTAAGACTCATTTGTATTGGTCGACAAGGCCTGTATGCGCGTATGACGGATTTGTGTGGGCTCATTTAAATAGTCCACAAATTAATGACAGACCAATGAAATGAACCACAGAAATTGATCATACCTCGCATGCGGGCCCTATTCACCAATGTAAATGAGCCATTATGGTGATGCTTTGTGTTTATAGCTCAATAATGTTAATGTGCCCAACTATTGATGTGGTTTGCATATTCCACATTTTCAGCCGAAGTAAATAAACAGACTTGATAAACTCAAAACACGTCAAATTATCACAATATGTCAAATTTCTGTAAATTTCTATGAACTCTACCCTAACAGTGTTTTACCAGTTTTAGCGCTGGACTAAATTTACGCTGTGAATGCACTAAGTATTAGTCAAAATTCATATTATTAAACAGGGACATAGCAAAGGTTAACTTCGGTTCTACGGGAGTAATATTTACTCCTAGAAAGTGGTAGGTTTGC